ACAGCACAAAACAGGTACTTGAATGGTTAATTCATATATATGAATATTTTTTCACTTACATACATATATATTTAATTTTATTGTATACATTTAATTTTTATTTTTATTTTTCTTTGTGATTTAACTTTTGCCCTTGCTTTATTCACAACCCAACGTTCATCTGAACATATGTATGTATGTATATACACATATGTGTGTGTATTTTAATTTGAGGTCGAAGTTGCGTTTTAGTTTTGTACTTGTTGACAAATATCCAAAAACTAAACAAAAACTTAAGAAATTAAGCGTCGAAACTGAAGTCGCGCGCACAACCGCAAACCACAAAAGGCCGCGTCCGTACTCATAACACAACTAAACGCTTCGAAACTTCCGCCGCAACTGAAACTTCTTTCGATTCTTAAAAAATGAGTAACTAACTATAAAAGCATAAAATAACTGCAAAATATTGTGTACATATATATATATATGTAGCTATAAAAGTGTGTTTGCACTTGCATAGATATTCAAGCAGAGAGCACGAAAGTAACATACAAATGTAGATATAATAAAAAACAAAATAAAACCAGCGCTGGACGGTTGTGAAAAACAATAGAGGTAAAGCATGCAATGCGAAGTGCGACGACGGCACATAAAGGGTGTTAACACGTTGACATGCCAATTGCCTCACGATGTCGCTGTGGCAAAAGTCGTTGCATTAAATAAGTAAGAATGTTTTCCTATTTCGAAATTATCTTTTACATACGAGCACAACTAGGTATCGAAGCTTTGTTTCCTAAATATGAAATGTGTCTGATTTATATCGTCCATTATATGGCCTATGCACCAAATTTGCTACCCGGAAGTGCACCTTCTCATCCAACTTGTTTGCCGTCAAGCACTCGCCTAACTCACCTGAATTGATTTCGTGTAACTATTTTGCAAAAAAAAAAAAATCAAAATAAAATAACAATAAAAAAATAAAAATGTTTAACATTTTAGCAGCTACAAAGCCGCAATCCTGGGACCGGTCTATTCGAAAAAAAATAGCTAATTTATGTTTAAGTTGTTCGATTTTCAGGAAATTTGGTTCAGAAGTAGCTCTTTACCTAGTAATAATAATCTTCTCAGATATATCGTTTGCCATAACATTAAATGAGTTAAATCGGCTTAAAACCAGTAATATAATTGGGGCCCAAAAATCCTTTTAATCATATGTCATCCTTGTATAGCGCCCATACACCACTCGTCCATAATATAGTCCTTATACAGCTTAACGTAGTATATTCCTGTGTCAAACAGAAGGTGATTTTGGTCCACAATGCTTTGAGTTTTCTACTACATATTTTTTAAAGATTAATTAAATATGAAATACGCTTTTTTTTTGTTAAATATGTTGTGATATATTTGTATTAATTACCAATGTTCGACAAAAGTGAAAATTTTTCTGTAAAAGTAGTGATTCGAAGTATCAAACAATTGATGACAGCTACTAATATAAAAATTTAATTGAGACCAACTCAATTTGAGTTGATGAGAAGGTGAAAAATTGTCTGGATATGAAGAAAAAAGAACTCAGAACCTCAAAGTGTCAAATTAAAGTATGTACTTTCATACTACCGTTACTCAAAAGTGAAATGCAGAACATCCTGGCATTTTGTCACCACGTATTTTTGTATTGTGAAATTTTCGTCTGGAGTATTTTACGTAAAAAGTAAATAATTATCTACTACCAACAAAAAATTTTAATTATCCCCTGTACGGGGCACTTAAAAAAACAGAAATTTATTTGTACTGCACCTATTTTATAAAAAGAACTGCAAGCATCGATATATATATATAAGTTGTCTCGAAACGGTTAAAATCTAAGTGTATAATAAAATTGGAAGACCTAATGCTTGACCCTGTATTCCGCATATAATTAAAGCTTAGACGTTGGAAAGCCACTTCGCCTTCGGGAGTTGTATGACAAGTGAACTGAACGCGAAGACGAAAGCGACCGCGACTTACACATACAGGAACAAATGAGCAAATGAATTATAAGAATTTGATAAAGCCACTGTTGCTTTTGGAGACGTACGAAGTAAATATAAACATATGTACATACATACACATATACATATGAACATGTGTGACTTAATGATGAGAGAGCGGTTAAGTGAGAACGCGAGTGCAGGCGTACTCGCTTCTGGACTCGCAATAAAATTCTAATTAGCGTTCTTAAAAAGGGAGAAATGTAAATATGTATGTATCCATATGTACATCTGTGTCGTTTTGTCATAACATCTTAAATTCAAAAATCAAATTTGGAAATAGAATAGATTATATTTTTGGGCCGATAAAAAGTTGCGACCAACCTCATGCCTCTCGGCAGGGAATGTCAAGTCCTCCGAGTGTATATCTGACATGAAATAAAAGTTCCTAATGAAAATCCATCGACGTCCAGAGGTGGCTTAGCATAAACGTTATGTAAGTACCTGCATTTGTTGGAAAATCATCAATAAATAGGAGCTCGGAAAAAATAGCTTCGGCTGTTACAAAGGAACTATTATATAAACGTACATATGTGCATATGTATATATTTTCAAAGACAAATTAGGCATTTTTTTAAAAATTTTAACGTTAAAGTTTTATATAACGAAAAGGTATCAAGGACTACCGTACGCGATTTTAGAATTTTCTTCTTTAATTTCACCTCACCCTCAAGATACCTACACATAAATATTGAACCTTTCAGCCGGATATCGGCTCTTATGGGTTTCTGGACGACTAAGCCGTCGAATAGAGGGGGAGAATGTTTACACGAGAAGCGTGATCCCTAATTCTCAAATGATCAGCGAAGTGGCCACAACTTTTTGCAACGAGCCTAGTGCACAACTTGAATATATTTCACGCTCGCCCCCACCCGCTTAGACAGTGTTAATAGTTAAGCTTAAGATATTCTGTTGTACGAAATATTTGCCAAAGTATGGACGTTGAAAAGTAAACCGTTATAACTTTTTAAAAACGTACAATTGGAAATCGGATTAAAGTTTGCATTGCAAGCAGGGTTACATTCCAATTACAAAGTATTACAAAGCTGGATATGAATCACTGATTCGGTTAGAAATTCGCCATAAGCCCGGGATCAAATTATGGGTCTTACGTGGCCATTCCTTTGAGCCGTCCTTATCCTGTCCTGTTTCACACTTCTCTTCGTTTTCTACTACATATGCGAGTACAATTTATTAAAAAAATATTTTATTTTTAATAATTAATAATTATAATTCATTCCAATATATCTTACAACTTGATAAATATTTAGTAATATAGAATAAATAGTGAATTATTAATAGCAATCTATTGGCATATAAAAATATTTGTTTCGTTTGCAGAAACCTAATTTTTTCCCACCTCCTCCCCGCGGTGGAACTTGACGATAGCGTAGCATTTGTCCGAGCAACGTGTTTTATGGACGCTGCCTTAGAAGTGATTTACGCGCAATAATTCTTTTCATTTGAGTTTTATGAAAAGTTTCTTAGTTAATTGTTATGAGTTTGTATGTACAGGGTTATCCTTTTTGCGGTTTCGAAAATAAACATAAATAAAATGTATTCAAAATTATTTTTTCATGAAATTCTTTTCCTTTTTTAAAGTTTGAACCTCGGCATTATCAAGCCTATTCTGTCGAGGTAAGAAAATTTACTTTGGCATTAAAATTTACCATTCTGTAAATTTTGTTACCAGCTAACGAAAGGAAGCGAAGTTCGAGGTCGTAGATAATTTCGAATATATAAGAGCCAGCATCAACACCCATAACAATGTCAGTCTTGAAATCCAGCGCAAAATCACTCTTGCCAACAGGTGCTGCTCTGGACTGAATAGGCAATTGAAAACCAAACTTGTAGAGACAAGTCACTCATCGTTCGCGTTCTACTACATGGTGCGGAGGCATGGACGATGACAACATCTGATGAGTCGGCGTCAGGAGTTGCGCATTGTAAAGGGCGAAATTCACATAGTTCAGCTGGCTAGGACATGTGGTCCGGATTGATACGAATACTCCAGCAGTATCCGCCAGTGGAAGCAGAGGAAGAAGAAGACCTCCACTCCGTTGGAAAGACCTGGCTATACTTGCTATTTTCAATTGGAGCCAAACAGCAAGAAGATGAAACGAATGCGCAATGCTCTTAACTCTGCTATAATCGCGTAAGCGGTTAAATGTTTCCAAAACATGTATCCTAATGTATTATTTCATTTCAAGAAAAGTTTAGTATATATCTTGAGGATTGAAAAATTGCCAAAAAATTAGAGTTAAAAACTGATTGCTTTGAGATTGATTTCAATTAATGTAATTGCCATTTTCTCAACACATTACCTTTTATTTTGTAAGATTTATGACCTTTTTATTTTCCTAATTAAAAGTTCACACGCAATACACGCACTTCTCGCATCGTTTATGCTACCTTTGTTTTTGTTACTGGTATGCATTCGAGTATGTACATATGTATATAAATTGAATAGTTAGAAAAATATCTTCAAGTAATAATAGTAAGAAGATGTAAGTACAGATAACAGGTAAAGGAGTGGTTCTGAAATAAGAAATAAGCACGTCACCATTATTCTATTAAACTTGTGACAAAACAAATAAGTAAGGACTAAGTTCGGTCGAGGCCGAACATTACATTTCTGGCTGTTTCGATTATACAAAAGAAATTGTGTTAAATGTCAAATATTTTACTGAATTCAAATTAGAATAATTTTTTTTTTTTAGATTGGTTAAGTTAGTCGGGTCATATATAAATTAAATATTCAAAACTTATTAGCTTCCGGGGAATATTGAGGGCGTGACAGGCCATATGCTATGGAAGGATACAATAAACAATTTTCAGTGAAATTCGCTCTACGTGCACTTTGGCTGTAAATTAACATATGTTATTTATCAAAATATATTTACTGAAAATAATTAATAATTATGTTTCATATACATAAATAACTAAATATTTGCTGTAAACAGACGTAAAACAAATAAAAAAAAATTGTTATTATAATATGTATTAAATAAATAAAACCTTTTATTTTAATGCTCAATAAAAAAAAAACTTATGCTAATTAATAACTAATTATCATTGCGAATTGACATTATTGTGTGGTAAGCTTTTTAATTCAGCTTCAAATACTAAGTTACTAATATCCTTCTTAAGATGTACTTGCGCGTGAATAGGAAGTTTCCTTACGGTTTTAGACATACTGATGAAGAATAAGTCTATTTCATCGTAATTCTCGGTAAGAGAACGTTTTAGCTTACACTCATTAGTAATATTTTTATGGGCTACCCTATTTGTATTGGGTTTTAAATCTCCGCGAACCGAAATAAATGGAATTTTTGAAAGTGCGACATCCTTATCGTCTTGGCTGGCATGTTCATCAAAATTTTCCTCCTCTTCACTTACATTTTCGGAATTGTTTTCGTGATAAGGAGTTGACTCGTCTCTATTATGTTTAAATTTTTTCTCCGAATGTGAGCTTTGATGAGATTCCCTATCTGAAAAAGATATAAAGATATAGTTTGTACAAATACATACATGATAAATGAACAAATAGTAATACAATAGTTAAGAAACAAAGACTTGAAAGAACTTAAATGTTTTAAAATAATCATTGTATAAATTCAAAGTTGCATTATAGGTGAGCGACTCAATACTCTAAAATCAAGTGAAAATGCTCTACATCCTTTCGAAAATCAATTTAAGAAAAACCTATGATTTGCGGTGATGATAGATTATAAATGTACTTCTTCCTAGAATGTGTTTCATAAATTTTATCCATACCCAATGCTTCGCTACGCCCTCTTTCAAACTCGGTGATTAATGATTCCATCTCTTCATAAGGCTCCCAGTCTGACGGTATCCCAGTAGCTCTAAATTGTTTCTTCTCCTTTCTATGAGAATAACGTTAGAATACCTCGAATTTAATAGTTTTTACATATTTACCGGTACTTGGCAGTCATGTTGTGCATCTTTGTCTTTAATTCAAGTATGGAGAACTTATAACCTTCCAACTCCATTTCTACTGCGATTTCCATTAAAATATGGCTGTTTTTTCTGCAAGCACGTAGCTTATCCAATCTCTCCCTCCACAAATGCAGAAATAAGTTCTCGACTTCCTTTACCCACTTATTCCGGCGTTTATTAACTAAAGTGAATAAGAGCTCATGCATTATAAGAATGTAATTTCTTTCATAAATCTATATTTACCATTTTCGGACTCCTCATCCATATCATGGGCACGATAGCTTGATTCTGAAGATGCCATTATCATGTGAAACGTGATTTAGCATGTATTAATTTAATTAGAAACGTAATTTACTCAGGTTTTTTGTAATTTATTTAGCTGTTTAAACACGATCTAAACCTCTGTTGTGGATTTTTTCTTGAACGATAACTTATCGATTAGAAGTTATCGTTCGTAAGAAGGATAATAAGTGTATAGCAGTGGTTTCAATTTTTTCCTTCCTGAAGTATTGTATGATATTAAATGCTTTTAATGGCACGCAAAGTTTATGTTGTTTTACAGTGTTGAAATATTATTTAATATGAATACAATAAATGTATTTCTAAATTAATCTAATATATGGGTAATTAGTTTTAAGTGAATCCTTTTTCCTCTCACTAACACATTTCCATATTATTTTTGAGAACCCTATAATTACTTTTAACGAAAGTAAATAATAAGTTTATGTTCCGAAAAATTTTGAAAATTAGGAAAACTTCAAGTTATTGTTACTTACATATATTGGTTAACCATGCTAAGGTCAAAACTTAAGAGTCTTCAAACCAGGATTAATCATCAATGCATGCGATATTTCGCCTAAAATATTTCATAGCCTGTTTAATATTTTCAAGTTATATTCTTGATTTGTTAATATTGAAATTTTGAGAACTAGGTTTACCCTGTGTGAGTCTGCACTGCTCTTGACATGCCAGACAACAATGACAGCAAGGTTACCGTCACTTCAAAAAAAAAGATTAATGGAAATTTCCTGAAGCGTTACCTGACTGTTCGAAATAGAAGAGTTAAGAAATTGAATTCTTTCTTCGACTTAATATTATTGTGAAAGTTCCAAAAACCAATGACAAGGCAATACAAAGTCCGATAACTAAAACACACATATACCACAAAGCGTGAATCAAATATTCGTTATCGAGAATATTTTCAAAAATTTTTCTTTGCATTGATACGAACAATTTGCAGGTTTATAAAACGGCCCTCATCACTACAAAGATCGCTAGCAAAGCAATGAATTGATGTATATCAACAATCCCAGCGAGACGGGTAGCTGTTGCCTAACATGTTATCCATGTATTACCAAAGAACGTATATGAATATGAGGAAAATTCATATACGTTCTTTGGTAGTACAGTCAGAGAACGTATTATTTGACGTTCTCTGATACAGTGACATTGAAAAAAATTATGAGAATATGGCAAGCTTGTCTAAGGAAATGAAATTGTAAAATGTGGGGGAATGCATTGCGTTCTGGTTGTACCGCCTGGTTTCACTTTTTTGCATTGGATGAAAAGTAATAAGTCTACATCAAAGCGGAAGTAAAATATAATTTGCGCATAAAATCAGCGGAGTCTTTCGCCAATATTGTGAATAACTACCAAACTTTTAAAATATATACAACAGTTCAAATTGTGAAACTTCAGAACAGAAAATTTCATCGTCAGCATATAGTGAATATTGGAATCAAAACTTATTATTTGCCCCAAAAGAAAATCTGAAAATAAGAGAACGGGACAAAGCAAAAGCGTGACAGCTACGAAATAGCAAATTATTGGCAGACCACTAAAACAAAGACTTTGACGATCACCCTGACTACATAGCAGCAAGGGAGGAGGTTGTAGAAACGTAGTANATTAATCATCAATGCATGCGATATTTCGCCTAAAATATTTCATAGCCTGTTTAATATTTTCAAGTTATATTCTTGATTTGTTAATATTGAAATTTTGAGAACTAGGTTTACCCTGTGTGAGTCTGCACTGCTCTTGACATGCCAGACAACAATGACAGCAAGGTTACCGTCACTTCAAAAAAAAAAAGATTAATGGAAATTTCCTGAAGCGTTACCTGACTGTTCGAAATAGAAGAGTTAAGAAATTGAATTCCTTCTTCGACTTAATATTATTGTGAAAGTTCCAAAAACCAATGACAAGGCAATACAAAGTCCGATAACTAAAACACACATATACCACAAAGCGTGAATAAAATATTCATTATCGAGAATATTTTCAAAAATTTTTCTTTGCATTGATACGAACAATTTGCAGGTTTATAAAACGGCCCTCATCACTACAAAGATCGCTAGCAAAGCAATGAATTGATGTATATCAACAATCCCAGCGAGACGGGTAGCTGTTGCCTAACATGTTATCCATCTATTACCAAAGAACGTATATGAATATGAGGAAAATTCATATACGTTCTTTGGTAGTACAGTCAGAGAACGTATTATTTGACGTTCTCTGATACAGTGACATTGAAAAAAATTATGAGAATATGGCAAGCTTGTCTAAGGAAATGAAATTGTAAAATGTGGGGGAATGCATTGCGTTCTGGTTGTACCGCCTGGTTTCACTTTTTTGCATTGGATGAAAAGTAATAAGTCTACATCAAAGCGGAAGTAAAATATAATTTGCGCATAAAATCAGCGGAGTCTTTCGCCAATATTGTGAATAACTACCAAACTTTTGAAATATATACAACAGTTCAAATTGTGAAACTTCAGAACAGAAAATTTCATCGTCAGCATATAGTGAATATTGGAAACAAAACTTATTATTTGCCCCAAAAGAAAATCTGAAAATAAGAGAACGGGACAAAGCAAAAGCGTGACAGCTACGAAATAGCAAATTATTGGCAGACCACAAAAACAAAGACTTTGACGATCACCCTCACTACATAGCAGCAAGGGAGGAGGTTGTAGAAACGTAGTAGATGAAAGTGTTGCTGGGACAGCGTATAGGTGGTGAGGAAAAGTAACGACGTGGTATCAGTTTTGCGCAAGAGGAATAACCAAAGGAAAAGACGACCCAATCGAAAACCAAAATATATAAAATTTTTTAAGGAGTCTTTAACGCGTTTAGCCTTTATAGTCATAGGGCCATGAGTGTCGACGCGTACGGTCCTAGTTCCCAGACTCTGACGTTTTTAGATACAGAGGAAAATGATTTGATTGGGGCAGATACCCAGGCATCTGATTTTGATTTCCGCGACTTTACGTTGCCTTCTCAGTCTCAAACACAGGCTTCGCAACTGGAGGGAATAGGAGGCAGCGCTGCAGTTCAAGTAATCATATAATATTTTATCTTGGTCAACAAATGTGTAACTTTCTTTTTATAGAATAAACTGAATGCCTTAACTAACAATTTGGCTGAGTTGCAATTTGAGGAAGAAGATGAAGATACATCCATACTAGCCGTAAAGGAACTACCTGTACATGCCTGTAAATATTGCGGCATTCACGATCCTGGTACAGTAGTTATGTGCAACAATTGTAAAAAATGGTTTTGTAATGGACGTGGTAGCACATCTGGTTCACACATTGTTAACCACTTGGTGCGTGCTAAACATCGGGAAGTAACACTACATTCGGAGGGACCGCTTGGGGAAACTGTGCTCGAGTGTTATTCTTGTGGTGTGCGCAACGTGTTTGTATTAGGATTCATACCGGCAAAAGCCGATTCGGTAGTCGTGCTGTTGTGTCGGTAAGTTCATAAAAAAAATTAACTGCTAAGTATCTATAAAGCATTTAATTCTCATTCTGACAGACAACCGTGTGCCGCACAAAACTCATTGAAAGATATGAATTGGGATCAAGATCAATGGAAACCCCTAATTACGGATCGTTCGTTCTTACCATGGTTGGTAAAAGTACCGACCGAACAAGAGCAATTACGTGCTCGGCAAATATCCGCTGCCCAAATTAATAAATTGGAAGAATTATGGAAGGAGAATATTGACGCAACCTTTCAAGACCTTGAGAAACCTGGTATAGACACTGAACCATCGCAAGTGCTTTTGCGTTATGAAGATGGTTATCAATATGAAAAAGTTTTTGGACCTTTAGTGCGTTTAGAAGCAGAATATGATAAAAAATTGAAAGAATCGCAAACTCAAGAGGGTATAGAAGTACGTTGGGATGTTGGCTTGAACAAAAAAACCATAGCATATTTCACGTTGGCAAAAACTGATTCAGATATGAAGCTAATGCATGGCGATGAATTAAGATTACGTTATGTTGGAGAGATGCATAAGTCATGGAGTGAAGTTGGTCATGTTATAAAAGTGCCCGACAATTTTGGTGAAGACGTCGGACTGGAGTTGAAATCCTCAGCAGGTGCACCAGTTAAATGTACTTCTAGTTTTGCCGTCGATTTTATCTGGAAATGCACTTCATTTGATCGCATGAGTCGTGCTTTGAAAGTGTTTGCTATGGACCGCAGTTCCGTTTCTAATTATATTTACGCACGCCTTCTTGGACATGGTCGGCATGATGGTAGCGATGAACTACTGTTTCGCGGCCCCATACCAAAGCTTTTCAGTGCACCGAATTTGCCAGATTTGAATCGATCGCAAGTATATGCTGTTAAGCACGCTTTACAAAGGCCTCTAAGCTTAATTCAAGGTAATACAATAAAAAATGAACTGAGAAAAATTAAAAGTAAATTTTTTTAATCCACAGGTCCGCCAGGTACTGGCAAAACAGTTACCTCAGCTACAATAGTTTATCAATTAGTAAAGCAGCATGGCGGTACCGTGCTTGTATGTGCGCCAAGTAACACCGCCGTAGATCAGCTTACTGAAAAGATCCATCGAACTAATTTGAAAGTTGTGCGCCTTTGTGCCAAATCTCGAGAAGCCATCGATAGTCCCGTGAGCTTCTTAGCTCTACATAACCAAATTCGCAACATGGAAACTAATATTGAGTTAAAGAAGTTGCAGCAACTTAAGGACGAAACAGGCGAATTGAGTTCAGCAGATGAAAAAAGGTATCGTACATTGAAGCGGGCTGCTGAGCATCAATTACTTGAGGCAGCCGATGTTATTTGTTGTACATGCGTGAGCGCCGGTGACGTTCGCTTGGCGCGCATAAAATTCACATCGATTCTTATAGATGAATCAATGCAGTCTACAGAGCCTGAGTGTATGGTACCAGTGGTATTAGGTGCAAAACAATTAATTCTTGTTGGCGATCACTGTCAATTGGGACCTGTAGTGATGTGTAAGAAAGCAGCCAAAGCAGGTTTATCTCAAAGTTTATTCGAGCGACTGGTAGTATTGGGTATACGCCCTTTTCGCTTGGAAGTTCAATATCGTATGCATCCAGAATTATCGCAATTCCCCTCCAACTTCTTTTATGAAGGCTCTTTGCAAAATGGTGTGTGTGCTGAGGATCGTAAATTAAAGATTGATTTCCCTTGGCCACAACCTGACCGGCCAATGTTCTTTCTTGTGACTCAAGGCCAAGAAGAAATTGCCGGCTCTGGCACTTCTTACCTGAATCGTACTGAAGCAGCTAATGTGGAAAAAATAACAACACGTTTTCTCAAAGCTGGTGTTAAGCCAGAACAAATCGGCATCATTACCCCTTACGAAGGTCAGCGCGCTTATTTAGTGCAATACATGCAATATCAAGGTAGTTTGCACTCAAGGCTATATCAGGAGATCGAGATTGCCAGTGTCGATGCTTTCCAAGGTAGAGAAAAAGACATTATTATAATGTCTTGTGTTCGCTCGAACGAACGACAAGGTAAATAACTCTGAAATGCAAGAAAAATATATATAAATAAATATAATTTTCCCACACATAGGTATTGGTTTTCTCAATGATCCTCGTCGTTTGAACGTAGCATTAACTCGCTCTAAATATGGCACAATAATTGTGGGAAATCCCAAAGTGTTGTCAAAACAACCACTTTGGAATCACTTACTCAATTTTTACAAGGATCGCAAAGTTTTGGTGGAAGGTTCATTGAATAACCTTAAGGAATCTTTAATACAATTTCAAAAACCCAAAAAGATAGTGAACACTTTAAATATGGGTGCCCACTTTATGACCACTATGATGGCCGATGCCAAAGAGGCAATGATTCCCGGCTCTATCTACGATCGTTCCGGTCACTATGGTTACTCATCAAGCGGTGTTGGTGCCTCAAACTATGGTAACAGCGGACTGGGCTTAGGTTTGGGCTATGGAGGCGGCAATAATATAGGTTATGGTGGCGGTCCAGCTGCTGCCCAAATGCAAGCAGCGGCCGCTGCTCAAAGTATAAATCAATTTATGGGCGGTAACTTTGGAGCTATTGGTGCAAGAAGCAATAGCGGTCCAAGTGGTCCTGGTAATCAAGCAGCAGTCAATGCACAACAATGGAATCATCACCATCACCACGATTCGATCAGTTACATTTCACCCGAACGTGCTCAGGCTGCAATGAACAATATGCCAGTGCCTGTTGGCATGTTCATGAATATGAGCAATATTCCACCGCGTTTCTATAATCAACACCAACAGGCGATACAGGCAGCAGCGAAGCAGGGCCGTCGCAGCGGTGCCGCTACTGCTACTGGCATGATGAATAACAACATTGGTGGGGCTGGCGTTAGCAAAATGTTCAATAATTTCAATTCGACTGCCACCAGCGCATCAAATAGGACTCAAAACTCAAAACAACTCAAAACCATTGTACCAATATCTACCAATGCAACAACAACAACAACAAAATCGCCAGCTGTCAGCGCCGACGATGTGGCAAGCGTTCTAATTGGAGGCGGTGGTGCGGCAGCATCACAGAACAATGTCTTGCCGCTAACCCAGCAAAATATGTCGCAGCAAATGAGCCAGCCCGGCGGCTTTACATTGTCCCAACAGCCCGAACTATCGCAGGACTTTGGCCAAATTTCGCAAATTGATAGCATTCTATCGCAAGACGTAAATTTTTCAGCGGTAAGTATCTGTAGGATTTAATTAACTCCAACCGAGAGCTGTCCCCACAGCCTTTAACACAATAAACCTCGCAGTGCTACTAACGCATCACGATCTTGGCGTCAAGGCATTCGCCCGCTCGGATCTATGCTCCAAAATAAGGAACATAGTTTAATGCTCTGTATGTGGTATCTACTGCGTTGCTACTGAATGCATGCCGCAGATACCTGCAGTACACAAAGCTAAATACTTCTGCTTTTTTCTAAGTATTTCTTTGTTGTTTTTTTTATTTGGTTTTATTGTTAAGTAACTAAAAATTTTTGTTACAGGGCAATCTAAATACGGATAGAATCAAGTTCGGCCTGAATAGTCAGAGTCAATTCTCGCAGCCCTATTGATATAACGGTTGATTCCAACTTCAAAAGCAAAAGCAGCAGCAGTCAGTTAAACCAACAATTCATATCAAACAAATACAAACTTTTTGATGTAACGATAGAGAACAAAGAAGTAAAGAAGCATGCACACAAAAAACTGCAGAAACAGCAGCCACAGATCTCTGATCGCATGGATAGAATCGAACTGAATTGATTTTGAGTGGTTAAAACAACAAGGAGATTCCACCACTTGAAAACCCAGATATTAAGATTAAGATATGGAAATTTGGGTTTTACAGATCAAATGATAACGCAATTTCGATATGCGAATCAGCGATCGCACTTATGCGACTGCGCAACGATGGAGTGGTATGTGCGCTATTTGCGCGAACGTGTGCTTAAAGGATTAATTAGGTGTAATTGGAAGCGACGATAAGCATAAACAAAAGGAACTACAAAATAATACGAACAAAAATCCACAATCAGATGTATTGAGAGCATAGAGAAAACTGCATTAAGAACAGTTGGAAATGGTTAGAATATAAACATAATTGCTACAAAAAATATTAACACACATTTATGGACAATGGTTAAGATGGTGAAAGTGAATATAAAAGGCATTTCACCATACCAGCGATGCGTTGTAGGCTGCGAAACAAAGAAATGCGGTTGGCGAGCACTCATGCTGTGTGCATCGGGTGCTCCGTATGAACATACATGTATACATCTACAAGAAGTATATGTGCATATATATGCATTTTCAAATATAGATCAGTTGTCAAGCATAGTTTACACGCTTAAGCGCCTCGAGGGCAATTAACAGCCAATTGGCGAATGTGATCGAACGATAATTATGTGAGATTATGAAGTGTGTCTCATATTCACATTAATTATATAATTCGCGGGATTCATCATAACCACTTCATAGTGAGGAGACCGCTTTCATTTCCTTCGAGTCCGGTTGAAATATAATACTTTACTAATTTATATCTGTGGGCTGTAATCTCAAGTTCTACTGCTTCAGGATTTTTCCATTCACAAATATTTTAATTGTTAAATTTTGTGATTAGTTCATATTTTCTAACAAGTGATTTCTGCATTTGCGACTAAATTAAAAAAAAAAATGAATAGAAAAAGCAAGATTACTAAAAAAAATTTAACACATATAAATTATGTTTTCACACAGATGCACATTTTTTTTTAGATACATATTTACTATATATTTCATTCAAATGTTTCATATCACCTACCGGCAGCAGTTGATTAATGCGATGATAAAGCTATGAAAATGCTCACTGCAACCGCTGGGTGTTGAAGAAACGTGCTTTCGTCGCATTTCCATATAAAAGAAACGCTTTGCTTTGCAAATTTTGCATGTGGAATCGTCTTGATTTCTCGGGAAAAATCTCCGTTTTTATTATTTACGTTAAAGAAGAAATTTTTTAAATGAAATAAAAGCAATAAAAATGTAGATACAATATGTCTTTATGTGTTGCAAGTGTAGGAAATGGTGGAATAAAGATAACGTAATGAATGGGAGCCTTGGGGTACTTATTTAATTGCTCAGATTGAAGATCGGCTCTATGCTGAATGTCGTCTACGCCTTGGCTGGCTACCGCAATGTTCATCGTCACTTCTGTCGTTTCGTCTTTGTTTAGGTATTTTGTAAAGGGTGATTTTTTACGAGCTATAGGAAAATTTTTTAAAAACTCGTAAAATTCAGAAAAATGCTTGAAATCTTTATTTGAATCGATAGTAAGGTCCGTATAGTTAATGGTTTGAAGATTATTTCATGCAAATGTTGACAGTGACTGCGCCTCAAATTGGGGTATCAGCTTAATCCAATTTTGGCATAGTCTTTCCAACATTTCGGCCGGTATCTCACGAATAAATGCTTCAATGTTATCCTCTAATGCGTCAATTGAAGCGGGCTTGTCTGCATACCCAATAAGTCCATTGTTACGCGTGCTGTGTGGCATATGGCACCGTCTTGTTGAAAGCACATGTCATGCAGGTCAAGCTCTTGAATTTTGGACAAAAAAAAGTTTGATATCATCTCACAGTAGCGCGCACCATTCACAGTTACGCTGCGATTCGCATCATCTTTCAAGACGTCCGGTACAATGATGCCGCACCGAATTGAGACTTTTTCTGGATGCATTGGTAGCTATTGCAATGCTTCTGGCTGATCTTCACTTCAAAATCAACAATTCTGCTTACTTACGCACCCATCGCAGCTTAACACACATTGATAATATAATTCAATAGGTTGCAAGCGTTGTTCGTAAATTTACTCAAAATCACTCAAATTACAGCTGAGAAGCAGTGTCTGATCGGGGAACATTCAACAAAAGGTACCAGTACCCGTATGTCAACAAAAAACAGTTTGTTTTTGTCTTAAAACAAATTTGCTTCAGGAGTAAAACTAAAAGAAATTATTGTAATTTTATTATTATAACTTAATATAATTAAATATTTGATTGTTTCTCAATGAAGTCTTTTAGTGAAATTTTAATTAAAAGCGCCTAAAAATCCAAAGAAGTCATTTTTCTATCATAGTACCGCTGTTCAGAAATGTTATAACAAATACAGATTTTTGGGCGCTCTCACGAGCTTCTGTGTCATGGTTAAATTATAGACCAAACTGAAAATGCTTGACAGTGATACAAAACACGAATCGTGGGTCAGCTGTGAATTGAGAAAACGCGAAACCCTTGTGCACGGGAAATTTCGATATTCGAAGCATATACTCAGGCTGGGAAATTTGCTTAAATCAATAAAAGCGGTTTTTAAATAAAAAAGGAACAGAAGCTCTTCTTTTCAAGCTAAAGCGATTAAGAAAAGCACAAAAATTTTAATATTGATCACAATGCACATCAAAGATTGCGGCGATCGTTGGCGAGTGTAAATATTTCACATATTTTTCAAGCCAAGAATACAAAAATAAAAAGCATATGTTGTTGTTGTAACGGTTCGCTAAACCCGCTTAGGTACAGATGTGATCAATCTAAGTCGCCTAGGTCATCTAGTGGGAGGTCCAGGAAACGGGCTGTTTCGACGGGGTTGGACCAAAGGGCTCGGTAGGAACTGCTTGCACAGTAAAGCATTATGCTCCTTAACTTGTAGCATGGATGATTCGGTGCATCATAGTTTACGACCGGCCGGACAATTGCTTTATATGTTCCCAGAAAAGAGTCTTTGTCTTTAACCCAGGTGCTGCCGGCTAGCGCTTTGAGTATTTTGTTGCGGCTTTGGAGTTTTGCGGCAATTGCGGTCGTATGCGGAGTGAAGGAATGCAGGCTGTCTAGTGTTACTCCCAATGTCTTTGGGTTATTTACCGTCACATCTACTTCAAGCCTGTAATCCTTCGTCCAGCTGGTGAAGAGGGTAGCCGCGGATTTGGTCGGTAGTATTTTTAGCGGTCTTGCAGTGAAGAAGTGGGAGAGGTCAGCGAGGTAGCCGTTCACTTTCGAGCAGAGGTCGTCAATATCCTGGCCAGACGCCATTATAGTACAATCCTCAGCATACGAGGTTAGGGAAACTCTTTCTGGTGGGGGAGGGAGTTTCGAGATGTAGAAATTAAACACCACCCTGCGGAACCCCCAGTTTAATTTTTCTGGGTTTTGATGTTACACCTCGGAATATTGCCGATGATTGTCGACCACTCAGGTAGCCCATGACTCAATGTCCGTCAGTAGCACTGAGTGATTGACTGTGTCAAAAGCTTTTGACAAATCCAGTGCTACCGGGACAATTCGCGCGCAGGCAATGGACTCTCTGGGGGTTTATGGCGTTTAGTGCTGTTGTGGTGCTGTGCACTTTTCGGAAGCCATGCTGATGCGTTGCTGGACGCAGATGGTGTGTGAAAATTGGACTTATATGGCATTTTTAATGTAATTGGATTCAGAATTTATTGCATTTCAGCAATTACGGTTGGTGGGATTGGAAGGGTGAGGTATATTTTGAGCTGCCTCCAAAGAACCAAACGGTTGATTCGGATGTCTACTGTGAACTACTCGACAAATTGATTACATCCGTCAACGAGAAGCGGCCAGAATTGGTATCGTAAAGGTGTCGTATTCCACCAGGACAATGGTAGACCGCACACATCTTTGGTTACTCGCCAAAAACTAAGAGAGCTTGGCTGGTAACTGTTGATGCATCCTGATCTTGCACCGTCAGACTACCATATGTTTCGATCTTTCCAGAACTCATTAAATGGCAAAATTTTTGAAAAAGACGAGAATATAAAATCGCTCTTGCTTCAGTTTTTGCAGATAAAGGCCAGAAGTTCTATGGGCGTGGAATAATAATGTTGCCGGAAAGATGGCGAAAGGTCATCCATCAAAATGGAATTTACAAACATGATCGGCAGTTTCTTATGGGGCAACCAATAAAACTGTATGTTTTTTAGCTGTCAAACTATAAAGTTACCAACACAAAAATGAGTTTGGAATTATTTCGCTGTATCGGCAATATTAACTGAATATTATTATAGAGGCTTACTATTTTGCGCTTCCGGAAGCTTACACCAACCACAATCTGAGTGTAACTTTTTGTTTGAGTCGTTGACATCATTAAATTTAATTAAAAAGATAATATCAATCATATTAAAGTATTAATATTATTATTATTTTAAATGATTTTTGTTTTGTTGTTTGTTGACAAAAATGCAATCATATGATCACAAATCAGCTATTTTTAATGCTTGATAGTTATTACTGGCTGAAATTTTCCCAGCACGAATTTGCAACTTTCTCTCCCAACTAAACGTCGAAATTGCACTCTCCGTTACTACAATTACTGGGCTTTTGGCTTACCGAACGCGATTCAGTACAGTTCAGTAAAAAACTCTTACCGTCATCGTACAGAACTTTGTCTAAAACTATTTTTCGCTACCAATGAAAAGCAGTGGAAAGAACAAAAAAAAATGCAATTCAATTTAAATTAACTTACCTTTATCGAAGTAGCTTACTACAATAAATAAAATTCACTCATTTGCTTGCTCTTTTCAGATTGCATTAATGCATTTATTTTCTCTTCTTTTTTCTCTCTGACGACTCTTAACAATAGTTGCATTGGCAAATTGATAGCATTACAAAAATCAGAGCATTGTTGAGCATTTTCCCGTTTGATGCTTGGTAAAATGTAGATTTAATGGAAGTGTGGGCGGGAAGTAATAAGGGGAAGGTATTGAATATTATGTTCGATAAATATAGAGGAAGGTGTAGTGAGGGGTGTTCTGATTTATATTTTCTAAATTTTCATGAATTGTTCATTATTCACATACATATTTCATATATAATTATAGTTATTAATGTTTCCATCAAAACTGATTTGTGTAAATCGCCACAATAAAGCCAGCTAAATTGAGGGCTGTTATACATAATTGCGAATTCACAGTAAGTGTATAATTACATAAAAGATGTGCAGCAAAATATATGTTTAGGACCGGTTTGTTTTTGCAAATATGAGGACAAAAAAAAAAAAAGAAAAACAAATGGAAAACATTATGTAAAAATATTCGCTTTAAAGCTTTTGCCTAACAAATACATACAATGACACATAATCAGGCTTTTAGGACCTTGATGTGTTCAATGGAAATTCATTTACAAAATTTTTACTATTTAAAATTAGCTTTGAACTTTCATGCTTCATGCGATGTACATATTTTATGAATTTTGTTTGATTTTAATTTTATAGTGTGCTTCTATTTCGAATATTCATTTGTTAATTTTTTTCTGATTAGATCTTTATGTTCTTACAAATTTTATTTCATACACAGCTTGTATATTTTTGCTTGAAAAGCTGCACACCCTTCTAGAATTTTTTTTTAGCACCGGGTCATTACGAATTTTTCTTTTCTTTTACATCGAGCTCAAACATGGTGAATAGTAGTTTCTTTTCAAGGCTATTTGGTGTCATATAGTATATAAATTAATCTAAAACCTTCATGGAAGGTGTACAGAATACTTGAAGCGGCACGATTTGTACGCGTTTCTTGACAGTGCGATGGTACCGTTCTTTTGCCAATATATATGTACGTCATCATATAGATGCGGAAATTCGCTAAGTATCGATTGAGCTGATTAAGATTTGTTTTACATATTACATGGAACAGTTTGATTTTTGTGTAACGTTAGTTGAGCTCAAGACGTCTATGAGCATGGCCAAAAGGTCCAGTACTACGCACTGCCATTACAAATATTGATTACTTTATTAAACTTTTTATTTTTATTATTATTATTGTTTTTTTTTTTGGTTTTTTGCTTTTTGTTCAACAATACATTGAGTGATATTTCTTCATTTTGGTACAAAAATTCTTCAAATTACTCTTTTTTTACATTCATTTTTATACTATTTTGATATTTTTTTTTACATTTTTTTTTACCGCTTTTATAAATTAGATACTTAACATTAGACTGATACAAAAACAATTATAAAGCAACACCACTCACATTTCTTCCGCCGGGTAATAATTTCTTATAAATTTTTGATTATTTTATGTTTCCGTTTTTGTATTCGTGTTGATTTTATAACCTATTTTGCTAACCTATGTATTTTTCTTTTATCTCTTTATGATGTGCGACGGTGGCGGTGGTGTCACTTTTGGAACCAGTGGATAAATATAATAACACTTTTTTTTTATAAATTAAATCTCATTTCTTCTTGTGATAACGAGACAAATTTTCTACTATATTATTGTGCGCTTTTATTTGAGGCTGGGCTTCATTTTTTCTCTTGTGTTTCCTCGATTTTTGTTTAACAATTAATGGCATTAAATTTAAGCACCGTAATTCTCTTTTAGTTTTTTTTTTTATTATTTATTTTTGGTTGCTGTTGTTGTGTTGTTCCCTATGCACAGCATAATTTAAAATTACGTTTTTATAATTCTGTAAGAAACATACATACATATTTATAAATCCTTATCTTACTAATTATAGTTTTTAATTCCCTGAGTTAAATTATTATTTATATTTTTAACTACTTTTGCCACAATTTTCACTTCTAATATTTCCTTCGATCGTATAATGTAAAATTGCTGATTAATGTTGCAAAATGCGTTTTTAAGTGCTGTAGTGATTCTCGTCCGAAATAAAAGGTCAAGAAATTAAACAAAAAAGCATTTAAAAATCCGCATCATTGGATGAACAGTATGTCTGCACAACTTCCAGTTTACTTAGGTGGTGGTTCGTAACATCACTCAAAGTATTTGGATACACATGTCCAAAGAGTTGCCTGTGTGTACAAGGAAGTGAAGAGTGGAATGCATGAAAACGAGCTTTCTTCCGGAAACGAGGTTATTGATACGTTACGATACGATATTTGAACCGTCAATGTTTGACAATTTATTTAAGCGATATAGAAAAAGGAGGTGCATTTAAACTCGTACTAAAACTCTTGGCGATTCGTAATGATATCGTAAAAAATTGCATGAAAAAACTATAAAAGTACGGTAAGTTATAATTCCTTCGATTGATTCGAAATATTTTTCTTTCTATACTTTTCAAATTTGCCTATTATTAGGTTGTCGTGGTTCAACCAATATGTAATTAGTTCTTTATAAAAGAGTTATTAATTTACTAATTCATTACATTTAAGATTGAGTTGACGTGGTTGATCCAATTCTATTATTTGAATTACTTTTTTAAAATATGAAAATGTCATTTTTCTAAATTCATATTCAAACTAAGAATCCTTATAAATCTCAAACATTTTATATTATACATATCATTTATAACACCAATTAACGCCACACCCTCTTTCTTTCCGTACAACTGAATTCAGAAGGTATATAATGTTCAGCTGAACCTTAAACTGTGGCATGGAAATAAAATAAATTGCCAATAACTTTTCAAGTTTTTAATCGAGAGACAGAATTTTGTCGTGTGAAGAAAACCTTTTAAAGCCTTCTCCCTGAAGAGGCTCCTACAACAAAGATTTTAATTTCATCTAACATGAGCTATCTCAAATATGCATACGTGTATGTAGGTAGTATATTACTTAAACTCTAATCGGGAAAAGGGTATTGCGCCAATCTTAATGTTTGCAAGTTCAGCTAACAGTTAAACGTATTATTTTAAGACCCAGCGCAAACCAATTGAAAACATCCAAACATCGTTATGAATAGTAAACAACAGTCACAGGAGTCTTAACAACAACGGACGCATCCGAATAGTATAAAAAAGTACCAAGATTTATGTAAAGTAGTTAGTCTAAAGGATAGTAATAAAGAGCTCGTATTTCGGCGTAGCAAATAGAAATATACTCATTACTGGCAAGAGAGCGATATTAACTGGCCTAAAAATAAAAGAAATAAAAAGAAAAAATGCGTTTTCGCAAAAATCAGAAGTGGGATAACGAATTAATTTTAATAGAAAAATTTATTATTTTTTATTTCATTTTATATTATTAATTGCTGAAAAGCTTTTAACGCTTGTGTGTGCAGATAGCAAATTTATATGGCGATCAGATCTTTGACAAATTAATGATTTAACTCAACGTAAACAAACGATAATTATAAAAGGGGATATAAAATATTTGATTTGGGTCCTGCCTCAAACGTTGTAATCAGGCTGGCCAGAAATATTCCAGGGAACCAAGAGGAGAGCCTTTAATTCGGCAACTATTTTACGTCGTCGTCACAATCAGTGTTCGTCAGATGATTTTCGATAAGATCTTGAAAATCTGCAACATTATTCATTAATTTAGAATTCTATTTGTAATAATTAGTCAGTTAAAGTTTAGTCTTCTTAACTTATAGCTTCTCAGCTAAATATTGGCACATATTGTACCAGCCAATTGATTTCAAAAATTTATTTATTTGTCCAGGAACTAGGACAGTCGTGTTTTGCAATTCTCTATTTTATCTTTAAATAAATAATTTCTATTCAATCCGGCCATCATGGCATAAGTATGAAATTCTATGGATTCAAGTTGAATTTATTCAAACTGGATAACAATAGTTTTGTTTTCTTTTTTTCATCAACTTTTGTGTAAAAATAAAAGAAATAAAAAGAAAAAATGCGTTTTCACAAACAACAGAAGTGGGATGACGTATTAATTTTTCTATTACTGGAGTGAAATGAAAGTTTTCTCCTAACAATTACAAGCTTTTTCTCTCTGTTACCGGTAAAGTAAATTTAGTTACTTTTACACCCAAAATTTAATTTGCTATTCTGGCCAACTGATTATAATATTTGAAAAGACTTTGGCAGCACTGCTTTTTTCGTCCATGTCAAAATACATTTGCCAGTTGGTAAAGTAAAAAGAAGAATATTCATATATGTGGGAACGTGTGAACAGTACATTAGGACATTATAAAGTAACTTTGACGGACGAATAAATGAAGTTATGAGATGAATTAAACGAAGTGACTATTACTTGTTGTTTGAAAGCAAATTTTCAGGGCGAATTTCCCTAGGTGGATGCAAACTTTTCAAATAAAAGACATAGAGCTACATGGTTTTGCAGACGGACCAGAAAAAGCATACGCAACAGTAGTGAACAATAAATGTAATGAGTGAATAACCACAGCCGCAGCAAAATTTGCCTAAATTTGAGCTTTGTGCGGCTCACCTTTTATCAAAACTAATACATCGAATATTAATTACGATTAAGCAAAGAACGAAAATAAAAACAATCAAAGTAAAAACTAATTTATTGGAACTAGAGTCAAAGGCATTAGGAATTTTATTCCAAGTGCAAAATGGAACCGAGCACTTTCCAAAGATAATCCAGCAGACGTGGAAATAAAAAAATATGGTCCACTTTACAACAATCGACCATCAACAACAAATCATCAATTTACAATACAACCTAGATGAATTTAAAAAACAGCGATTGAAATTAAGAGGATTAGACTTCCATTATAAATGCTAACACCATGTCTACCTGATTTCCGCTCAAACCATCATTTCGCAACAACAACACCATGACGAGTATATACAATGCTCAGCATTTCCGCCACGTGCATTGCAAGCGGGCTAAATTCCTGGAACCTTTTAAACCAGAGCAGAGCCATAAGTTATAAATTAGCAAATTCTGTATTGTTTAAGTAATTCTCGTTTTGACTTGAATAATAAAGGTCGTAAGACCAGAAGTAAAAATATTTTTTTATTTAATACGAACGTGGAATTCGTTAACTTACATATATATCCATAAAAGATGCGTTTTCGCAAAAATCAGAAGTGGGATAACGGATTAAATTTTTTTCGGAGTTTATTGAATTTAAATTCAAACTGTTAACTTTCCTCCAATATTTTGTATTCAAATAAAAAGATGCGTTTTCGCAAAAATCAGAAGTGGGATGACGGATTAAATTTTTTTGGATCTAATTGAAATTGGATTCAAACTGACGGATTAAATTATTTGAAGTTTATTGAATTTGGATTCAAACTGTTAACTTTCCTCCAATATTTTGTATTCAAATAAAGAGATGCGTTTTCGCAAAAATCAGAAGTGGGATGACGGATTAAATTTTTTGGAGTTTATTGAATTTAAATTCAAACTGTGAACTTTCCTCCTGTTAATAAAAATATGAACATGAAATTCGGCAGCAACAAAGTAAGGTTTTAGACATATATAAATGCACGTAGGTACACATGTAAATATAAACATATAGAAGGATAATATACAGTCCACTAAATATCAAATGCATTGATAAGCAGAAAATTTGTAATGTGAGCCATTGATCATAAGATTGTGAAGAGCACTGCTTATCTTAATATTTTAAAGTAAACGTATAACTTGAAATTTGAGAAATACATCGTAAACAGTAAACATAAAAAGCATTCAAGTGCATACACACTAATACACATATGTATGATTATTTATTCTTATTGCACTGGAGTGTCAAAATGGATATGCACACAAACATGTATAATTAGTCGATAAGGATAGTTTTAAGAATTTGTATATAAACCGAGAAATTATTGAAAATAAATCAGAATGAATTAATTTTCTCACAAATGAACTCTAATTTTCCCTACCAGCGATAAGAAATTTTAGAAACGTTATTGTGGTGATTGACACCTCCAATATCTTGCCTTAAAATACGGAGATGCGTTTTCGTGACAGACTCATGTTTTTAATTATTAAAGTAAACTGGATTAGAGTTCCAGTTCAAGCTACAAGTAGTAAGGTAAAAATTAAGCCCCATGAAGTTATAAAATCTAACTGCCGACGAATCATTCAACGGAGTTCGCCAATATAACAAGACAATTCACTCCACATCAGGATATAAGCCCGAGGAGGTTTTGTACAGGGAAAACTACTCAGACACCATTATAAAAAAAAAAACAAAAATTATAATATACAAACCAGGTGGCATAGTTAAGTCTAACAGATCGACGAAATAAATTCGCAGCAAAATACAATAAGCATAAGGTAAAAAAAAACGTGGGGAAATGAACGTAACAGTGAGGGGAAAAACAATACACAAAGATAGTATAAGAAAATTAGCACACCATGCAACTCATAGGCTTCCTAATTTTAACAACAGTTACTTAGGGTTCTTGTAATAAAAATAACAGACTTGACTGGTAAGAAATATTTACTTACTGAAGTAGACACTGTGTATACCTATGAGAGTTCATCCTTTCTTTACCATGTATGGAACTTATCTATAATATAGAACCATATGAAAGAATTACACGAACTAAGTATGAAGATACTCAAACTGAGGATAAAAATATAATAATCGATAAATTAGAAACTCTCAAGTCACAACTAATACCATCCGAGTATCGTGCCAAACGTGCTCTCAATTTTTTAGATTCTGTGTTGCAATTCGTAACAGGAATATCAGATCACGATGATCTTGTCGAAATTAAAACATGACTGAGCCAATTTATTGAAAATAATAATCAGCAAAGAAAAATACATTCCCGATTTGAAATAAATTTAACACTATTTCGATCAGTCAATACTTACTGAAATATATAATATAACGAATTTATAACTATTACAAATACCATTAACTTTGCAAAAACAGAAAACACTTAATTTTAGAGACATACAGCACGTAATAAAACACGAATTATGCTGATATTCACAAATATACTTTTAATAATGCTATATATAAGTGAACGTAACAGACACTAGAAATGACGTTCCCACGCGAAGCGCGAATTCCGCTGACGATATGTCTAGAAAGTTAGCATATCATATTGCACATTCTACTAATGCAGGTAACTCACGTGTCAAGTGCATGTGAGAAAGGAAAACAGGCAAGCTTAGCTTAAGAGTAGATTGTAAAGTTAGTTTTAGTTGAAATTTGCACTTGTGAGAATAAAGTTGTGCTAAGCACGAAAAAAGTATTTTTTTTATTATTTCTCAATGTAATAATAATTAACTTATATACAATCTCTAAGAATTCCATAATAACAAACAGACGAACACATATTTATAAAAAAAAGATGATAATTGTACTATTCCTTTGTTATTAAAACAAAAAGCCCACTGTAATTTTATCCAAGAAAATAATCTTCCCTTACAAATATTTGTATCGACAACGAACACACATGGAACGGAGTTTGGGTAAAAGGCGCTCATTTATTACAACTATTGATAATAAAACTTATATTAATCATAAACAAGAAATAAAAACTATAATACATGCTCATCAGAATGAAAAGGTTAATGTACTAAGAAAAACCTTTTCATTACATTCAAGAAACCACATCGTGGAGCATCGTTGTAGATATAAATCTATTTACGGCACACAGTACACGTCACGCGGCTACTTCAGCATCATTCCGAAAAGGTGTTGATGTTGAAACTATTGGAAAAGCTGCAGGATGGTCAAAGAAATCCGAGACTTTTGCTCGGTTTTATAATGACCCAATCGGAAACGAAGTAAATTTTGCGAGTTCTCTTTTTTTAAAGTAAGAATCAACAAATAAACTACTCCACTAATACGAGTCTCCATATTTTGTAAATAACTACAAGTTATAATGATCTCGAGGACGAGTCAGCGTGATAGTGAAGTTCGAAGTAAAATAAGATGGTAAGCCAAACATAGTGTTGCCATCGATAAGCAAATTTTTATTCACAATACGTTTGCGTTTTCGCATAATTCAGAAGTGGAATAACGGTATAAATTGAGTCCATTATGTTTTTATAAAATAACACTGAAAATGTAGATTTTTTCGCCATTCTAAGGGAACTTATTTACGATATGTCTGCCTCTTCGTTTAATTAAGAAGTGGAATTACGGTAAGAAATTTAGTCTCTATGAAATTTTAAGATCACACTGAGGATATAGGTTTTTCGTAATTTTAAGTAAACTTATTCAAAAAATGAAATTTCCAGGTAAGGTTTTGTTCCGGCTATCAAGTAGTGAACTTGACATTGGCGAACCCGTCTTCGAGGAGGCTTAGCTGTAAATGTTCTCCCTTTCTTAAAAACTTTACTGAAAAAAGCCATTTTTCTCAGTTCAATTTGTTTAAATTTGTCTGATTTTCTACGACAGTCTCTTAATTTTCACATACAGTAACGTGCAAAACCGAGCAAATGTTCAGGAATTTAACTTCAAAATGCTATAGAAATATTAATACGCAACACAATCCAAAAAAAAAACCTTTTTGTATTTTATTAGTTGCACTTTTTAAACAAAAATGATTGAAATATGAAAAAAGTAACATGAAAAACTTGAAAAAATTATTATTTGCTCAATTATGCATGTTTCGCATACATGCCAAGAAGACTAATTAAACATTTTACAGGTCAGATTACCTGACTTTGTAGATTTGAGCGCCTACTTCGAAGAAGTGGATTTCCAACAGGACGGGGATCCAAAACACACCGCCAAAGTAGTTAAGGAATGGTTATCCCAGCAGCGTTTCCAACTAAAGGAGTGGCTGATACAATCTCCTGACCTCAATCAAATTGAGAATTTGTTTGCAATAATGAAAAAGTTAGCAAAATATCAATGAGCTCCTGGGAACATGGACTGGCTTTCCTACGAATAATGAATCAGAGGATTTAACCTTAATCGGAGCGGAGAGTGGCGGCGAGGGTTCGTTAGAAGAAACCATTCATCAGTCTTCCAGAAATGAATGTGTAAAATTCTCTTCGAACATAAAAATTTATATTTGCAAACAAATGAGAATTCGACTGATGAGCACTATAGAAAGTTTTCAGTCATGTAGCATGTTTGTTTTCTGTATGTTTCTGTTTTAAATAAAAATACATACATACATACGTTCAGTTATTCGTACACGCGTATTTGTGAAATATATTGCTCGTACTTCATTCCGCATACGTTATTGAAAATGTAAAATTTTTCGTCTTTTTATGTGAACTTATTAACAATACGTTTTCGTTTTCGCATAATTCAGAAGTGGGATAACTGGGATAATTGTATAAATTGAGTACACTATGTAGTTTTAAAGTTATTGTCGATTAGTGGGCTTCTTTCGTTTACATATGAAACAATAGAAGTGAAAATGTGGCTTTACCATATACCTTTAAAAGTTTAACATAATACGCTAATCAGTCTTTTAGAATTAACTACAAATTGGAATAATATAGTCCTAGACCTTTTAAATGACTAGAAGTATCGCTGTTGGCTTAATACTACCTCTATTAGTTAAACTTACATATGTAGATGAAGACATTGAAGTGAATTTCCCATATGCCTAATAAAGTTGTGGTTCCAAATACTCCTGTTGATAATTTCTCGTTATTTTCTTGCAATAAACTCCGTTATGGATCTACTATCAGATTTACTATTTCCTTCTGTGTCACATTTTTTATAGCGTTATTGTTGGAATCATCTGATAGAGTGAAAAATGTGGATTCATTCCCGTTGGTATTCACAATGTTGTTCCCACTTGTTGCAATGCCCGAGGACATACCATTTTGTGAGTCTTTGTATTGTATTGTAGGATTTCTTAACGTGCTAACAATACTGTTTGATGGTGGTATGATAATAGGTGCAAAAATTGTGCTTAGATCAAGAGTTTCTTGTAGTATTCGCCAGGAGGCTACAAATACCGCTTTGACACGTTCAAATGTTTCGAAATCATACACCGATCTCGCTGTATTTGTTAAGTCAAAGGGTTCTAAAAAGCGACAAAATAGATATTTGATATGTATGTAAATTATTTTATGTGTTAACGCTGTACATACCTTCAATACAGAGCTCTTTCCATTGGTGGATATCGTTTTTTGATGATTTAGCAAGCCGGCAAACATTAATTGGCAGTAGACCACCAGTACGAACCGAAATCGCAAATTGAGTGTAACTATAATAAAAAAGACATTTAAATATATTATATATCTACAGTTGCGGTCAAAATCTTAGTAGTGGTTTTGCTAATTAAATATAAGTCATCACAAATTTGTATTTCAGACTATTTTTTCGTTTTCACTGTAAATAACACCAGGTTAAGGCACCGACATGACGACATGCATTGATTTGTTAAGCTAGTATCATTGTTGTTATTGCAATCAACTAAGTTTTAAGAAAAAAATGTATTTTTGATCAGTCAAATTCTTAGTTGCGCAATCAAGAATAGTTCAAAATAAAACTAAATTCTTTTTATTTTTGAGACTAAAAAATTTAAGAATCGTTAAGAACCATTTCTGTTATCAGTATTCTGTTTTATAAAGGGAGAAATTTTTATCATGCCGCATGTAGTGATGCCAGGAAAAAAGAATTGTACAACTGAGGTAAGGGCTCTTACAAACCGAGTGTGGCAAAACGCGGACGGAATCGTGCAATGCCCTTTCAATAGGTCAAGTCTGCTGTAAAATATTCAAATCAATATCCGTTTTCGGCTGCCAGCGAAATAAAAAAAAATCTCTAAATGTGAAAACCAGTTTTGAAACTCCGCCGTCGCTTACAGGAAAACGTTCTCTCACTTCGGAGCCCCAGAAAAGTGCCCTTGCTAACTAAACAACATGTGATCAAACGATTACGTTTCGCCAAAGACCATTTGACTTAGCTTTTGACCAAATGGCGTAACATTTAATGGTCTGACGAGTCAAAAATTGGTCGCTACGATGTAGATATGTTCAAGGCAGTTTGTAAGACGTCGATACAACAGCGCACTTAATCCAAAATATATCCCTAAAACGGTAAAACATGCTGGTTCCAAGCATTGTGGTTTGTGCATGCTTTCCGTGGTATGGAGTTGGACCCATTCATTAGATCTAGGGGACCAAATCATGCAGGATTTCACGCTCCCATATGCTAAGCAAGGAAATGCTACTGATTTTGACCTTTCGACAGGACAACGATTCGAAGCATACTAACATGCTTGCAAAGAAGTGGTTTGGAGACAACCGAATAAATGTAATGGAATGTCCTCCACAGTCTCCCGACATTAACCCGATAGAAATTTTGTGGGCTGATGTTAACAAATCGGTGTCTGACTGTTATTCTACAAATAATTTGCAGTAGTGCCAATATCTAGTGAACTCAATGCAACGTCACTGTGCCGCCATAATTAATAATAATAGTTATACAACTAAACACTAAATTAATGTATAATAAGTAGTTAACTGAAAGCCAATTTATTCAACCTAAATAAAAAATACTTTAAAATACTTTTTCGTAAAAAGTATTATTATAATAATGAATTGAATAATACAACAATAGATTATATCGCTGATCTTGGCGCAGTGGTAGAACACTCGCCTCTTAAGTCAGGATCCGTTCGTTCGATCCCTGCCATATGAAGTCCGAAACAGCTGTCACTTCTACCATTTTTCTTTGTTGTATAACAAATATTCAATTCATATAAACAACCAGGCCTCGTAGTTTACTTAATAAAATTAAAATATAGCATGGCCGCAAAAACAAATTATATAATTATTTTTGTTTTTTATAACCAAGTGGCTCTAGTTTTTTTAATTAGCTTGAAGTAGTCTTTTAACTACTAAAAAAAATTAAAAATTAAACTGGTTTTGGTAAGCAACTACATATTTTTTTTCAACTGAATTTAGTGCTTGTCCGCGCTACCAACGTTATAACCGCAGCTATATATATATATATATATAGATACTTACTCAAAACAACTGTAATACTCCAGAAAATGAAGAAATAATTCACCGATGGTTTGGGTATTAGTCGATTCGTAAGGACCAATGGTTTCGTTCATATCCACATATCCAAAGTCGTTTGATCGCAGCTGAAATGCATATAGATCATTAAAAATAAATTTATATATTACACATGATAAAAAAAATCGAAGAAAATTTATGGATTAACCACTTAGTTTAGTGTAAAACACATGTAATTAAATAGTTTTCTAAATTAGTGTGGCCAAAAATTATGTGGGAGTTACTAAGATATCACATAAATAATTGCAATGGAAGATATTCAAGAACAAACTGTTTTTATAATATTTTGATATAAGAGCTATTTTAGACTTTTTACTCACCAATGGAAACTTATCAGGAAACCAGTCGTGCAAGCACGGAAGCACAGCCGGGCTGGCGGCGTACTGCAAAAAGTGTATTACCATAAGAACCAAAGAATAGCTGGATATAGTCATATTTTTGGCATTGTTTATGTTGTGATATTGTGCCCAAAGTTTTGTAACTAACACCATGGGACGTAAACGCCAATCAACTAAAAAATAATACTCGTTAAATCTTACTTTCAATTATTAAAAGAGAAATTAGCAAATATATCAAAGGTCTTTTGCCTGCCGACTTTGTAAGCAGAAAAATTTGAGGTTAGAGATGGACCCACTATCGTTGCCATGTTGTTTAAAATCTCATGAGTGACAAAGGCAGTTGCCACACAATAAATAGTGATTTTGCACTTTTTAACTAAAATTTTTGGTAATTTTAGACCTTTAACTTAAGTTTTCTCAAATAATATTCTTTAATAAAAATACCAAGAGAAATAAATGAAGACAAAACAAGAGGTTTTTTTTTTAAAGAAGTTATAAAAGAAATAGCAATTGATCATAATAAAAAAGACCCTTCACATTTTTGAGCAACCGAAATTTCTGAGTCCAACTCTATTTATTTAAAAAAAATCTTTACAGCAGAGATAAAAACATAAAAAAAATTCAGCAAGCTAAATCTATCTCTTCTTAGTTTAAGCGTCCTAATCATCGTTTTGATAATAAACTACTTGCAACAATTAAAAAAAGATTTCGGACAGCATTGAACCACATTAATGTATTATATAAATTCTATACATTTTTAAACAAGAAAATTGTCACAAAATATATAGTCTTCACATGGACTTATGTACATACATTCATTTAAATTTACTTACGTTGTGAGTAGCAGTATAATAAATGAGTGTTTTTGATTCCCACACAGTTGTTGAAATTCAAATCCACTTCCAGTTGATGAATACGATCTCTGAAGCGCAGTATTGGCACTTTCGCTTCGATAACATTGAAATTCTCGAACTCAGCTGAATGCACATGAATTAAAACCCGAGAAATACAAAACAATTCAATTAAATAAAATTTAGCAACAAGGAACATTTTTTTGTGTCAAGAAATGAATTCAACACATTGAGAGAACTTAATTAATGCAAAGAAGTTTGGCTTCTGATATCGCTTGCAACGTTTTAAGAGACGGTGTCAAATAAATATATGTGAGTTATCCTTTGCAGAATAGACTTTTGCTTCGCTACCTGAAATTTCATCACTTTATTTATAAACGAAAAAGATCTACACTCTTTAGATGAAAGCAACATTTGTAAGTGCAACCACCAAAATAGAAGTTTGTCGCAATAGACAGCGTCGACGAACGCAGTGACAGATGTTTATCGATACTTTGAAATAAAAGTAAATATTTGATTATCGATACTACTTATGCGGCTATTCCACCGCTTCGGGAATTACATTGTTCGTCCTTTCAAATACGAACGCGAATTACCCAATTCACACGTCACGCATTTTGACAGTTTTCTATTTCGTTAGTTATTTTCTTCTTTCCATTTCAAAAATGAAAGGGTTTAGTAAAAGTTCAAAAAATCTTGAATCGAATTGTTGATATAATTATTATTACCGATTTTACTTCTAACAAAGTAAAAATGCAATTATTTGGGCTTCCGGTAAACACCCATAAAGACAAAATTGCACTATTTATTTAATTAAATAAATGAATTTTTTAAGAACAAATAAAATATTTTTCAAAAAATCAAATTTACACCATCTTCCTATGTATCTAATTTCATTAAGTTTTATATCAATCTTAACATTATAACTTTTATAGATTTCAAAATATTCCTTTTTCAATATACCATATAATAATAACGTTTAGTTTCGAAGTAATATTTAATCCTAAAACCTTTTAATTTTTCTCTTTTGTTTTGATTTATCAGCTGATTCAAATGAATTTATGACCGAAAATAGTGAAGACCACGATTTGGTCGTAATTTGTATTTATTTGGAGGAAAAATTACGTTTAGGAGAGCGAACAACGAATTTGGGAAAATGTCATATTAATCACCAAACTATTGGAAAACAGTAATAGAAAAATAGTTTAGTGTAACAGGCCTATTCTGTCGAGGTAACAAAATTTACTTTGGTATTAAAATTTACCATTCAGTAATTTTTGTTATTACTTCGTATTCTGAGTTCACTGTCAACCTGTAAATTTTGTTACCAGCGAAATCGGAGGTGACAAAAAATCTGCTGTTTGATTTTGTGTTGTTAGTTTGAGAAAATATAAAAACCAAAATGGGTAGGCGTATTTTATGCCTGGAATTCATTGAAGATGAAGAAAAAGGTGCAAAAAGGCGCATTTTAACAAGTTTTCGAGACAAAAAATTGCCCTATTAATTTGTAGGATAACTTTTTCATTCAGCTTTTTTTTGTTACCGGTAACAGTGAGAATAGGCTTATTAATGTCATTTTCTTGAAAATCGTATTTAAGAATTTAATCAATATAATCTCGGGAAACTTTGTTTTATTAAACAATAGCGAATAGTTGAGTTTTTTTTATTTCCTTGTTTCCAGTTATGTATGTTATTACATATAGAGGATTTTGTAAAATTTATGGGGACATATACTATTACATATTAAAAACTAAAGTTCTTTAGCATTCCCTGATGATGCCTTTGTGCACATAGTAGTTTGAAAACGATATTTGAAAACTCTCAGCCTAATTTCTATGGAATAAATAAAAAGTTTTCACTCTTACCAGATTTGCTTAAATAGTCTCGTAGGACAGTTAAGTTAAATAAAGCTTCCATCCGGGGCTCCACATTGGACGTACTGCGTGACACCAAACACATGTCCACATCTGACGTATCAGCCCCAAATCCGGATATGGTAGATCCAACAAGATATAAACCAAAACGTGGATAAGTATTCTGAATGGAAAAATAAATAGAACTCAAATTAGTTTGACTATGATGGTTTATTTTGTAAAAGTGTACCAACCTTTATAATAATATAAAGATAACGCCATAAACGCATTTTCTGCCTGAAAGTTTCTTCGGTTTGCTGAGAGTTTATGAATTTATTCCAAATACCTTGAGAAAGATTATCCCACTTTGAGTTATTCAGTAATGAATTTGGAGCTTCTTTGGCTTCTATAAGATGTGCTCTAGCTAAAAACCGATCAGGTGGTGTATGCGTGAAATATTCTTGCGATGCATTTGTTGACGAACGTATGTGAGTTGGTGGAACTCCAAAGAGCAGATTATGTTGCGGATATACATGAGAAATAGATGTTGCTGGTGCACCAGACATTTGGTGATGATGGTGTGGCGTCTGTTGTAAACTACTGCGCGCACTATTACGCTGACGTAGAGTAGCTACATTGCTGCCGGTACTTACTATTCCACCTTGTGATACAGTATACTGTGGTAGACGTAGGTGCTGATGTGCTGATTGCTGAGATATGACTGCAGTGCTGCTCATTTGTACATTTGAACTGCGTAAAAATAATAATTTGTACATATAAATATAAAGCACATCTGCTACAATCTAGATAACTATGAACACATATACATACCTGCGTTTTGTATGACCCGACAATGGCAGCACCTCATTTTGGCTAACAACGTTTGCATGGTGGAAATGCTGGTCATCTCGGTCATTAAAACAAGGTGACAGTGTTGCTGTCGGTGTTGCACACTGCGTAGCCGGTATCAAATTCGCAGGTTGAGGATACAAAAAATTTGAGTGTTGCATCGGACTCCAGTAGCCGCCGCCATTTGTAACGTGGGCAGATAATGGTGTAGCACTTAAGTGCTCTCCTGATGAGAAATAAAAATGTCTTTGCTGAGGATGCATGCTTTGATGTTTCTGCGACAAGTGTTGCTTTGTGGAATCATCAACATCCGTATAATTATTGACTGCGAATGGTACATTTACCATTGATATAACACCATTACTTTGGAAAGGCGATTGTTGTTGAGGTGATACTAATGGTTGTGGTGTATAATGCTGCGACGCTGAAACAACAATTGTGTCATTGCCATTATAGACACAGCTTGCAAAGGTCCACTGAAATTAGGGGTTGCTGATTAGCATGTTGAAAATGTCGAGGATGCTCATGATGATGAGCGTCCTTTATATATTTGTGCCTTTGCTGCAAAAGTATCATGGAATTTGTCGAAGAAGTATCTGAATCATCGTACTCGTGAGATCTTGTGCTCTGTACGTTGCTCGTTGGTTGATTTGAGTCGATTGGTGTACCAGCATCTCTCAATTGTGAGCAACACACTAAATTCCCATCAACTGCAAAGTAAATTTTTCAAGGTACATATATGTAAAAGAAAAATTGAATATTAAAGCTGTAATAGTTTTAATTGTCGAATGCTTACCAGGAACAAAGTTCTGTTGATATTGCTGCTGAGTCTGAAATTGAGTTGGAGTATATGGAAATATCGTGGAAGTGGTGTCGAAACGTTGCGGGCCAGTCGCATTTGACACAGGCTGTGACAATAAAGGACTAGAACTACGCGATGTGGTAGTTAGGTTTAATCTTGATACGCTCGACAGTGTGGTATGATCCTCAGTATTGACGTAAGTTAGATTATGAAAATTTTGATGAGGTTGTTGCGAAATCGAGGACTGTGATCCTACCGCAGTACTATAATGCGAGTGGTGTTGTGGGTTGTGGTAATTAACCTATTGCAACCTACAATTTAGACGGTGCGCGGCGGTTGTGTTCATTTTGCGAGGCAATGTTTCAATGACTAGATTCATTTGGGTAGCAGATTTATTTCTCTGTTGACGGTACGAAGGGGTTGATGTCTGAGAGGAGTTAGAAGATGCCGATGAAATTGTGGATGACGAGGATGAGTGTTTTGATGCGGAAGAAGTACAGTTAGACCTTTTATCATCCAACGACCTTTGGTTTTGCTTGGAGGACCATTTCGAAAAATTTCCCTTGCTTGCATTATTTTCACTACCAGCGCCTGCCTCTTCTAAAACATCCCTGGGCTTATGTGGGTTTATTGAATTATCCCCATTATTTTGCTGACTTTGATACTTATTATGCTTCGAATGTTGCTGCGTGTAAGCACCGCTTCCACAACTTCGACTAACCCTTGAATTAACATTTACATTTTCATTTGAGCTATGAAAAGAAGGTTGAACAGTAATAGAACTCTGTTGTTGGGTATTCGAAATACGGTCTTGCTGATGATAATGTGATGTGTAATAATTATTACAACGCCGATGAAGATTTCGAAACGATTGTTGATTGGCAAAATTACTATTATTATTATTAACATCAATACCGCTATTATCTCCTGTGCCACTGATAAGACTAGTCTCGGTATTACCGACGCCAATTGTGTTTTCATTTAATAGTTCTTGCTGCATAAAAGATGCAATCGTCAGTTGTTGAGGATGGTGGTGGTGCTGTTGAAAACGATGGCCACGATGTTCTCTAGCATGATTGTTGCCAACTCCACCAACTCCACTTGCACAGTTTTGCATATATCGACCGTGTGTTAAATGCGGCGGCCTCTGCTTTAAAAGATTTTGATAAGCATATGCATTTCGCCCCGGCGACATGACGTCCGTATTTTGGGTATTGTATACTGTAGTGGCGCGTGTATTAATCGAATTACTTTTTCCAATAGCTGGTATATTGGCCCCCCCTGTCATTTGTACCCCAACTGAGTGTAGGAAATCTAATGAATAAGAATTCGAAGGTGGAGAACCAGCAGTAGATGGCGTCGGAGAATTGGCAGGCGATGTTAATATAAATGTTTGTGTGGCGTTGTCGTTAGAATCTTTTGAAGCTTTAGTTGAAATAGAAGACACTACTGGCCCCGATACAGACAATTTAGGGAGCTCTATAATATTAGGGAATTCATTAGCTGCTAATAAAGGGTGGGGGGCTAATGTTGCACTACTTTTAGACTTTGAGGTCATTTCCTTATCTGTAGCACAATTTGTTGTTGCTGTTATTGTAGAATCGACGGCACTAGTTGTTGCGGAGGCTGTGGTAACTGTGTTTGGTTCCAATGCAGTTGTCATCGCTGTATGGTTTTCAACAAATTTAGATTTTCTTCCACTTTCAGTAAATAATGACACCTATAAAATAAACAGAATAGGTGATATAAAGGAATGAAAAAACTTGGATGATATAGATTTTTAGATAGTTACTTTGCTCTGCGGATTATCAGTCGTTGTCGATATGTTCGAGGCCCGTTTTTGACGTAGTCCCTTTATACGTGGTGATGAACAACGTTTATCTGCGTTGGAGCCTCTGTTATTGTTATTGTTTTTTCGATGTATTTTCTTATTTGTAGAATTAGTGGCAGTTGCAATACTGACGTTGGGAATATTGTTCTTTTCTGCATTACTATTTATTGAAGCAGATATTGACGAATTGCAGGAAGATTCTGAGCTGATGGATGAGCTTTCGGCTCTACTTATGTGTACCCATGGCCAGGATTGCAAAGACTTCGTGTCAGTACACTGAGGAGTCACCAAATTAGTCCAACAGCTACTGCAATCAAGATTGATGTCTTTATTTTCTCCAACGCAATTGTGTTGAATGGTAGATGCCGAAGAAGGTGGGCTATCCGAAGCTAATAATCTCGGTGCTTCACTCTTATTTGGCGATGTAGAAGGAACGACGTCTAGTTTATATTCAGTTGTTGCTCTGTTCGAAGAGAGAGCAACATAATTGTCATTGATGGAAGCAACGAAGTTATCATCATGAATATTTGTTAAACAAGTGTAGTTTGCGTTTACTGTTGTATTATTATTTACATAATCTTCCACTTTATTTAAACTCTCTTCAACTTTAGATATGTTTTGTTGTTTTTGCATATCTATTGGGTTTGCTGTATCAAAATCTGGCATATGATTTTTAATGGTAATATTATTTTTGACTTCTTTATTGTTATTTAAAAAATTGTGCTGATAATGTTGATTATAACGGTAATGTTGTTGATAGAATTTTTTGCGACTTATCACGGATGTAGTTGGAATGTTGTAGAACATGTGTGATTGGGAAGACTTCTTACCATTTTTGATGTTTGTAGAATGGTTTTGTTTTGGTGTTTGAATCGACTTAGTGGTTTCGCTATTTTTATAACTATTTCCATTAAAACATCTCATATTAGGAGACTCGCTGGAATTGATACCTGCCATTCCTGGCTGAGTTATGTTCGCATGTGAACTTGTCTTTACAACATTATTGTTTTTCATATTCTTGCTATTTGATATATTTGTAGGAGTTACGATTTTCATGTTGCGTGTAACCATTTCAGTCTTAATGCAAAGAAAGTATTTTTTACTTAAACCTACTACTAGCTTAGTGTTGATATTAATATCTTCTGCTAAGGCCACATACGAGTAAGTGGAAGTGTTTTAAATTCAAAAACATGTTTGTGTATTACGAATATCGCTTTGGTCTTCGAATAAAAAATTCCATTTATTTTAAGTTATTTCGATACTTAAGTGTTTACGGCTGAGGACGTAGCTAAGTTTCCAAATACCTTCTATTCAAAATATATTGCCGAAAGTTTTGCATTCATGTTCTCGAGCATTTGGTAAGAAGTGATGAAATTTATTTATTCTTTTATCTGGAAAAAGAACAAATATTCATATATTATACATATGTACGAATATTAATAAAAAATGAAGAAAATAAAAATTTCTTGGCAGGCCATCTATCTTCCAATTATTTGCTTGCAACATATGAATAAATTTTATTTCCTTAATTATTTCAACTACATATTCAACATAATGTGTTTCGTTCGGATAACTTAAAACTTGACGGATTCGATTGTATTCAAAGAGGCAGAGATGTACATATTGTATCGATTTGAGTTTTGATCCATATCTTCCTCTGGCAAAAGAGTACAGTACTAATATGTTCATGAAAGGTATAATGGAATGTATATAAAAAAAATATTAAAATTCCGAAATAAATACATATGTACATTTCTACAACATTAACCAAAAGTAACTGCGCTTTCAAAGGGTCGGCACATTATAACGGTCATGAAAACTGCAACTCACCGAGTAGAATTTATTTACTGTGGTCCCACTTGGTATTTCGCAATGTATTCTTGCCTGCTCTTTGAACAATTAAAAAGTTTTAGTTTATGACTGACGCTTGGAACTCAAATTATAGGCGATTGCAACTTTTGTTTCAACCACGAAATTCATTGCTACGTAATATGTGCATATTGTGATCCAATTGATTAAGCCGGCTCCACTTTACCAACTTAGCGAGCATTTATTATCTTTCTAGTATAATACAATTATTGAATTAACGCAGTTTTTACTTTATATTTGAAATTTATTTTCGTGGGCAAATATCTTTTCGCACGTATAAAATTTGTGCAATGTAACTTCCTTTATTTTCCACTCGATTCAGTTTTCCTTCTTTCCGCGTGTGACCTTTCTAATTGTTGTTGTCAGATTGTTTGTTTTATAAAATGTTTCAAGAAGCAGGGTTGCACTCATTTGAGTTACGTCTACTTGACTTTATAACAAGTGCCCACGTCCAAATAATAATTTTTCCCTTAAAATTGAGCAAAGTGATTAAAATTGTGGCAAAAATACAAATAAATATCAGATGGGAAAGGGAGACCGATACCTACAAAACTTTCTAGAGCGTGTTCTTCGAATGTTCGGTATGGAGAACAGTCAACGAGAACTTAATAGAACATGTGCGAGATGTCGTAAGGCATAGCATAGAACACGACAGTGACAACATTGATATGAAGTAAAAAATATAAAACAATGTGTTTACAGGATATTCAACTGTGTGTTTTTTTTTTGAAGATTTCAATTCTCATCTTCTCTTTGTCAAAAAACTTCCCTATGCATAAAAGCGTAATGTTAAGAGCGAAACTCCGGTTGCTTTACTACTGCAAAATTAAATACATTACCAGCAATATTTATTGACTCAAAGCAGATGATTTTCATAAACCAGAATACAATTGTCAATATTATTTTACTACTTGCATCCGTCAAATTAAGTTAACCACCACTTGTTCACATAATTGACAGACGAGGCTTAACCGTACATTGTGAAACCGCCCTAATATTGCTTTAGATGACAGATATTAGTAAGTCCAAGTTTACACGGGGATACTTTTTGTCGACGAAACATTCATTCGTTTGGTCTGAGCTTACATGGAATTTGGGTTTTTACTACAATATTGTTACGAAAATGCGAGGCGAATGTCAGATGAAAGAGAGAAGCCGATAACTAGTACATTCTAGAAACGATAAAACAAGAACCTTCCATAGCGAACAATTCGATGCTTCTACGCTTTCGTCTGCGAGCAGCCGACTGCTATATAAGGGCGACACTCAGCTGCAAGTTAAGTTAGTTACAAAGTGAGCTCGTTGGCGTTAACATCAGTTAAGTCGGAAAGTAAACGCGTTGGGAATTACATTTAAGTAGAGTAAATTGTGAAAGTTGATGCAAGTGATTGTAGCTAGTAAAGTGCCTTGTAATTTAATTGTGAATCACTGAGTAAATAAAGGACATTAGATAAATTCTTTGTAACGAAAGAAACTGCAAATTAAGTTGGCGAGTTTTATTTAACAATCCAGAGATCGTACCCGAAGGATTTAGGAAATCATCGAGGTTGATTTAGTAAAATCGTAACAATATTTATATATGTATATGTGCATACAAACATATATATATATATGCGTATATGCATCCAATTTCAGATAAAGGAGTTTGCAGATAAAGTTGAATTAATGCAAGATATGTTAGAGAATATTGAAGAAGCTGCTGAGATTGACTGTGATTATAGTGAAAAGGATAAAATATATAATTAGATGACACTTTGGAAAGGGTAGAGTTGATGTTTATTCATATGTAAAAGAAGTAGATAGTTAAAAGCTGCGTCTTCCTTTTCACAAACATATTGTTTTTATTATAGAAATATTAAAATTGGCGAAGCGAATGAAATATTACTAGTCTAAGATAAAGCGGAACAGAAAAAAATGAAGAAGAAACAAATGTCAGAGAAATTGCTAAACAAAAAAGAAAATTATGATATTAAGTGACTAAAGTTTCCTTATGTAAATTCAGACTAAAGCAATACAGATAGATACTCATGAATTCGTCTTGGCAAAACAAATTGATAATATCAGCTGTTATTTCATAACCTAACCAATTTATTTTGTGCACATCTTATTTGCTTATAAAGTAGAAGATAGTGAAATTTGTAGGAATATTAATTGAATGAAAATGTTAAGATTGGGTGTAAAATTGGAAGCATGCAGGAAACTGCAAGTGCTTTCTGCACAGCGCAGTATTTCTACACCACGGTTACAATCCACTGCAGTGAAAAGCATACATAATGATTCTGAGTATGCAGATGAAGCAATTTATCCAGAAATACAGGATTTGTCATTTAAAGCTCGAAAAAAGCGTGAAACTCAAAGTTGGCATGATGAAATAAGGAAAGTACCCACAGTTGAAGAAAAAATGATAAAGATTAATATGCCGCGCTATTATGGCTTCAAGGTTGTAAATCTGAATGACACCAAGTTACCATACAATTGTCTGCCTGCTATTCAGCACTACACACGTACATTTTACGAGGACATTAAGAACACAGAAAATGCTGTGGAAGATAGTAAACTTTCAGATAATCAAAAGTTGGAAGAACATGTGAACTTAGTAAAATCAGACGTTAAAGATGCAATTGAATATGTCTACGATTATTTTTGGTAAGCTTAAAATTTTGAATATAAACATATTATTTTTCGTTAAAGCACCTATATTTCAGTCATGAATACCCTGACACGAAAAATATGGAGCCACAAGAACGTGAAAGTGTATTTGCCAGCCTTGTGGTCGAACAAGTTAACCGGACATTAATCAATGGCTTATCCAGCGATTATATGCATCTTCAAGAAGCCGAAATAGATTACAGTCCAAGACATGAAGCTTTTTGGTCAGTAGGTGGAATAAACCCACCAAAAAACGTGGTCAAAAGCAAGGAGGGTCGGAAATGGCAAAAGGAAATGGCAAATGAACCGTATGACCGCTTGATGCAATACTCTGCAAAACCATTTCTAGCAATACGACAACGAAACCAACTCAAACCATGGAAAAGTGAATCTGAATCAACGAATGTCGGTTTAGCGAAAAGTATACCTCGTTTTAACTACGATCCGCGTACTTTAGGATATGTTTGTAACCATCAACATGTAACAAATGTACCAGGTGAAATTTTCATTAAGAAGTAAATAGTTTTCTATGTTCATAGTTTTGTTTATTCAAGGTTTCTGGCCTGGTAGCCCAAATATCTTTGGAAATATTTCCTACCAATCACGTGCTTTTCTACAAATTCGGCCAGAATCATATGGTGCTGAGGATTTTCGAGAAGCTTTACATGCCCATGCAATTCAAAGTAGCTACGCATGGTTAATGGGACAAGCTAGCTTCAACGGTTTCAATACTTATAATGATCTTACTTATCCAATGAATACGCAAACCATATTGACGAATGGACGTGATTGGTCATTTTACGAATATCAATTGAACACCTTACTTGTGCACTCACACCACGTTGATGATAATCCGAAAGTAAATTTCTGCCGTGGCACAGCTGATTTAACGTTGTATAATGAAATAAGTGACACTGGCAAGATTGGTGACATTAATGAGAACGTACTGCGACACCTCATTCGCTTCTATACAAATGTGCCAGAGATTCAACGCTCTACCAGCGAGTTACAACCCTATTTAGGTTCAGATGCTAAGTATATAGCAGATTATAAAAATCCCGATCAGCGGGAATTTTTGGAACGTACCTTTAAAAATTTAATGTCAAATCGACCACGTCACCTAGCCATACCTGAAATCTACCTTTGGGAAAAGATCTACAAAATTGATAACAAAACTAGACCAATGGAGGCTAAACGCCGCTTCTTTGAGTTGGACATTAATCCCTGGTCACGTACATTAGATCAACATCAAAAAGATTATATACCACGAGCCGTTCGCCCAGAAGGCCCCAAGAGCAAAAAGAAGTGGAAGCCGACCTTTTATCCCTAATTTAGTTATTGCAAATAATCAATTTTATTTAAATTCTCAATAAATCCGTGAAATATCTGGGAAAAAATATTGTTTTTGTCAATTCGAAGCCCACTTCCTCTTTGTAGCAAGCATGAAATAATTAATACCAAGAGATTTGTGTTTTTATTTTCATTTTTATTTGCCTTTTCACCGCAATTGAAATTAAATCCTTATTACTTATACAAAGTTAATACTATTTTTTTGCTACTATTGTAATATCTAAGTTCTTGTTGTTTAACTGATTTATAGTTTAGCATGTTGTTTGTTTTGTTGCCTGATCGATTACAATGATTTTTAATATACTACATACATATATTATATATGCAAGTGTATATATCAACATACTTATATATTTTAATTTTAAATTTGTCACTTTTACAACCATATTTTGTTTATGTATTTGTTTTTTTTTTTTGTTGATTGTGAAATATAACTTGCTTTTTGATACGCTTTTAAGATTTGTATTTCAGAATTTTTTGGTTTTACTTTTAATTAATTTTATTTTAGTATGTACCAAACCATTGATTTTACATCCGTAATGCGCTTCTTATATGTACGTATGTATATCTGTTTTTTATACATTCAATTGAGTTTTGTTGTCACCAAAATTATTCCCTTACTACTAATAACGTAAAAACAATTTTTATAATCAAAATCCTTTTTTTTTGTAATTACGTCCGGTTACGTACATACATACATGTGTTAAATATATTTTAATTGTCCCAATATTGAGGCTGATAATAAAAGATAATAAAAGATGGCTATATAAATTATGTTTTGAATTAAAAAAATTTATATTTTAGAAGTTCTGCAAGTATCATTCAAGGTAATATATTTTACATTTTTATTAAATTAACGGCGGGCTCGGGATTTTGGCCGACCAGATCTCAAGATTTAGGAATTTTCGTTGTAAAACGTTTTGAAAGTCCGATTAATGAATTATTTATTTACGATTATATTATTTTTTTAAGATGCTTCGCTCCTTTGATTTGGAACAACAATGTTATGCCTCTTTTCTTTGTTTTTGTTTTTCATTAAGCACTTTTACTTGTATAACCATTTTTGGCACTGGAAGGGAATAGGTGCATATGAATGAACATGCGATATACCCACATATACATACATACTTATGTATATATATATGTGTATATGTGTATACACGTACGTGTATATGTGCGTATTTAAAATATTTATTTACATATGTATGTATGTGTGTATATATAGCACAACGGTAATTGAAAATATCGGAGCACTCGTACCTACATACATACATATGTACATACATATGTAAACATAACTCAATGCTTTGTGTTTTATTGTAGTGTATCGTATATGTATGTATGCATTGTAGTTTTCGTTCAGCATTTTTGTTGTTTTTGTTGTTGTTGTTGTTGTTTGTAAATTTAACTTTTTAAATATATTTTTTTGGTTGTTTTTTTTTTGTTAGTTTAAACTTGCGCTTACATATTTAATTTAGATATCTGCTTTACACAATTTTGCTTTTGTTGTTGTTTAATTGTTTAGTGTTTTTCTTCGCTTTTAATTAGCTTGCGTACATACATACATGTCAAGAATTTTATGCTGTTGTTATTGTAATGGTTATGTTGTTGTTGCTGCTGTTGTTGTTGTTCTTGTTTTTGTTTCTATTTATCGTTTATTTTTGATTTTTAATTTTTGCTTTGGATTTTCTTTCATAATATTACTTTATTGCCATAAAATACATAAAATACCAACAAAATCATTCGTCAGAGGATGAGAAAACATTGAATAAGAGGCATAAAATCAAGACTTTAATCTGTTTTTAATATTGGTTTTTGACGCGAACTTAACAAAATGTGTAAAATAACACATATATGCAGATATAGATGTATGTACATAAGCATATATGATGTATGCATTTACATATGTATGTGAGTAAGCGAATAATGAGCGAATAATTGAGCATTTGAGTAATTCCTTTTAAAAACATTCAAATGCTGCATTTTATGCCTATATGTATGTGTTTAAGTATGTATTAGACGAAGAAAGAGAAACCGAATTTAGTTGAGGTTTTTGGTGTTTCCACATATTTTCTATGTAATTAAAAATCTCCTATCATTTAGTATTAACTCTTGTTGTAGGTTAATTTTCTACACAAAAAAACTAATTTACAAATTCGTCATTTGTTCTTATAGTTATTTATAAAAAAATTATAAGTGCATACGATCATAAACATGTATGTAAATATGTATGTATAAAAACTATGAAATAAATCGGAAACCGTTCGGTTAAATTACAACAAAGCGATTGTCATTAATACATATGTATGTATGAATGTATGTATGTATGTACATATATAAAGAAAATTATTTTATACTTATATTATATATTATACATATTGTATGAAGGTGCCGCATTAACGTATTTCCTCCCGGTTGGAAAGTAAATTTCGAACAAAGTGCCAATATTACGGTCTAACACAAATTGATCGAACTGTTCACTTATTTTTCATACATACAGAAGAAGAGAATTACATAAACAGAAGAGAATTGTGTTGAATAAAGTTTTTTCGTTTCGCAATGTATGAAAGGTTAGTGTTTGTCGGAACAGTCTCGATTTTGTGAGACTAACGGTGTATATTACAGTCGTCGTTTTAAATTCCAAGGATTGAATTTAAATTTAATGACGTCAATACTCAAAGGTAGCCGAATCGTCGCCTTTTCAATCGCTCATCTTACTCATCTCGAAAATCGAAAAAAGTCTCAAAATCAAAAAATGCCTTGCTTGGCACTACGTCAAGGGTTTATTATGAGACCAGAGGGAAGCTCAGTATGAGGAGAACTTTTCAGCATGAATTCGGCAGTGAAAACCTTTAAAACTGGACTTTTATAATTTAGCCAATTGTTCAGAACTGAGATGATGACACTGGATATTGCAATGACTAAATGAAAATTGCTGTTATTAGCTTGATGAAGTGTAACCAAGGACCTTAGGAAGAACAACGATTGTTATTGATTTGACAACTAATTGTTTTCATATTCATACATACATATGTATACATCATGATTAACTTGAATATACAACAAAGCAAATAAAATTGCGAATACCGTTGTTTGAGTTTTTAATTGAAATTCATTAAAAAAAAAATTAGTTTTCTTTTAAATTAGATACATACTTACATCTACTCATTCATTTACAATTAGGTATGAGTATTTATGTATGTACATGCAATGTATGGCGGCACACATACATGCGCTTATTTATTCTTTGTTTACGTTGCACTTTAATTTTAAGGAAGACCATTGTTTTCTCGCTTTCAAATTTTCAAATTTTCAAATTTTCATATTTTCATATTTACTTGTACTTGGAGACGAGTACAATTTTTGCTCATTTTCTTAGATTTACTATTAGATTTGTTATTGTATAGGCATGTGTAGGATGTACTATGTATATACAAGTGCTTGTGTCTTGTGCATGTATGTAGTTTCATACTGTGTTCGAATAGATGAAAAAATTAGAATATACGTGTAGGGTTACGACTTGCGCAGGCTGGCTAGCTGTTTCATTTTCTTAACGAAATAAAGTTGATAAAATAAATCAATGCCCAAAATATGAGCAGCTCACAACATGGCTCAAAACGGCTTGAAATTGTAAATATATGCAAATATGAGCAGCGCCGCCACCTTCGTGCTGTTATATTATAATTTTTTAATGCCCGTGTGTACATATATCTACACGTACATATGCATATACATACTTTTGTATTACATATGATACCCACGGTATATGAAGTTATAGTTCTAAGAACATAATGTACAATAGATGCTGTTGCATGGCCAAGTCCGTCTCCAGACCTCAATGTTAACGAGAACCTCTGGGGGAGTTTCCACGACCCTTTGCCAAAGTACAACCTAGCTGTGAGAAAATATTCATAAAGTTTGGTTGATTTCCCTATGGACACTTGGCGGAAGTTGAGAGAGAGTTATCAAATATAATGGCGTATATTCGGGGTATTGGCCAATTTCTAACTAATCTAGTAAATGACGGGTCGAAATTTGCCGAATTTCACTATTAAAAACATGACTTGTTGGACACAACAGTTATTCTGGCCAACTAAAATGTGTGAACTTTACGAGTTAACCAAAATTCACCTTATTTTTATAGCTTCTAAGTAAATTGTTTTACGGTTCTGAAATAAGTTTACGTTGAAAATTAAATCAAAGGCAAGCTTTTTACAAAAAATATTTTCACACCTACTATTATTTACTTTGTTCAGCTGAGTACGTGTAGGTATGTTCTTGGTTTCGCTACCTAAATTTATTACACTCGTATATCTAATTTCGCAATTTCTCTTAAAATTTACTATTTAAATGTTATTTATGTGCACTAAGCATGAATTGTTCAATTAATTTGACATAATAATCTTTTTAATTTTTTTTTTGTGTTTCTTTATTAATCGGCGCTTTCCTATATACTGCGATTTCTAATTTCATTATTCATGCACTATGCTTACGTATGTATTTATGTGGGTGTATGTGTTTAACTGCAACATTAATTGTGCCTACTTTAACATACCTACTACTTAAGTATGTTTGTATGTATGTATGTATGAGTATTTGGCTATTTGTTTTTGTTTTTGTCAATACAAAAGCATGTCAATGTGACACAAATCATTTACTTTCTGCTATTTACTATATAAATATGAGTATACGAGTACAACTATGAATGCATATGTATGGTGTTTCGGTAATTTTGCTGTCGCCTATTATTATGCTAAGTTTCAGTGATTAGAGATTTTATTGTTTATCGTTTGTTCAATTCAAATTTCAAATGCTAAAATTTCATTAAGCATGTATTCACTTATGTACGAGTATGTAGTATGTATGTGTACACGCATGTATGTATGTATAAAATATAATTATTGCCGCTCTCCAACAGTAATGGTTTTAATAACACCGTTAAAATTTATCTAAAAAAAAAAATTAATTTGGGCTATAATTTTAGCAGCAATCGTAACTACAAATGTTTGCGGTGATGGTAATCTACTTTTCACGTACACACAGAGAGGATTTCCCGTGTTTGGTTGTTATTTTCTTTAAAACACGAAATCTCAACAAACTGTTATAATCAACACTCACAGCGTTAGTTATTTGCCAACTTTAGGCGAACTGAAGGACTTCACACAGTACATAGTATATACGACACGGTTATGTGCGCAGAAAATACTAGGGTGGTCCAAAAAAAAAATGTTTCTACACAGTATCAGACGTGTAGGGAAAAGGAGTGCCAAAAAAATATTTAAAACTAACTTTGAGTACATTGTATTTTAAAATATATTCAGAGCTTTCCTCAGCTTTACTTTCGAAAAACAAAAAAAAATATATATTATTTTTTAATCTTAAAAGGATTTTTTTTGTAAGTATACATTTTTCAATGTAAAGTTAAATACATATTCTTGGTGACATATTGATGATGAAAAATAGATAGCAATGACTTTGGCATGTTCTCGAACGGGTGTATCAAATGTTTTGTTTCGAGAACCTATGCACATATCTTAAGTAGATTCTAGAGCTCAGTGCGAGCAATCGGTGAGGTGCATAAGGGAGCGCCTAACACTGTAGAGGCCAGTTACAAAGTCTGTTTACTCTTTGGTGATAACACTAGTGTAAAGTGAAAATAGTAAAGCATGAGAGTAAAATAAGTCTTTGTAAATAGTGAAACTAATTGTTATTTACTGAGTAATGAATGAATATTTTGAGTAAATGCTGTACAATTAAGTACAACCAATTAGGGACTGGTCATCCATTGCTCGAGAATATACAATCAGAGTACAGCATATGCGGGGGTATAATTGCTGTCCGACTCAGATGATATTGACATCATTGGCCTGCACGACGCCGAGAGTTCTGCTAAGCAATTGAAAAGAAGAGTTTTCGATGAACAAAGACTAAACGCTACAAGTCGCTACTCATACTGCCCAATATGGTACGAAAAAGCCTTCTAAGTGCTGACGTGTGCTTTAAAAACGTGTACTCAACTTTTTCCGCGGAACCTGTTTTAACATAATATACATACATACATGTACGTGCATGTACATACACGCAATCACACTCGTACAAGCGAACAAGCATGTTTGGAAATCAATTGGTTATTGTAGCTTTTATTTGAACGTTCTTCTTTCCCAAACAATGTTGTATTTTACCTTGGTTTTTGATTTTGTTTTTTTTTTTCTTATAATTTTTCTAATTTTTTTACTTAGATATTTATTTATGAATATTTAATCCATTTTGCTCGCTGTATGTTAAGTCTCTACATATTATATATGTATGTTTATATGTATAACAGATCTTAATTGCCTAAGACTACGCTCGAAATTTGTTAACTTTTGCTGTTTAAATTGCATCAAAACGTTTTGTAATATACAATTGGCTACGCATGTAATTCAACGACTTATCACTAGGTGTATGTATGTATGTGTGTGTGTGTATGTATATATTGTATTGCATTAGTCATAATCAATTATTATTTATTATATTATTTGTTACTTATTTTTAAAATTTTTACTACTTTGCAGATTTCATAATTCATTTATTGCCTTACTTACTTCTAGTATTGCAGTTTATTTGCTATGTTTTCGAATTTAATTTAATGCGTTTTCTTTTGTTTCGGTTTACTATACATTATTGTTTGTCAGCGTATGCAGGGTCTGCACACTCCCGTCAACAAAGCGGCAAGTTTTATGGCCTTCGTCTACTTTATAAAATAGTTAACTTTATACTTTCTCGATATTAAGTACATGTTTGAAATGTACAGTTTATCTATATTTTCGCATAGTTTATAATATTCTTTGTTTATTTTCCGTTTTTCGCGACGCTGACGTCTGTTAGTTTGGTTTGAGAATCTATGGAATGTCGGGAGCTGCATTTTTGGTTGCTTTGAAATTTGAAGCCGTAATAGTATTAAAGCACTATACTATATACAAGTACGTGTGTATATTCTTCTGATATTCAGATTTCTTATATGCGCTTGTTTATTTTATAAACAGCGACACGAATGAACTCTCACACATTAAAACTTTGCCATTGGAACACTAAAACACACGCAATCCTTTGAGCCACATTGCAATAAATTATCTGTACATATTTCCCAGTTTTGTTCTCGCTATAGTTTTCCGTTATCACATTACTTATACTCACAAAAATATTATCTAATTTCTGCTTGCGTTACGACTAACTTTTCAATTTACCATTAGATTACCGTTGTTAATTCAACTTGGAATAAGAGCGCGTATGCAAAGATTTGTTTTTGAAATTTTCATGGAATCGTTTTCGACGATTTATTAGATATTAAAACAAAACATTCTGAACTCAGTATGTGCCAATAGCAATAGTTACGATGGAATTTCAATTACTTTCTGAGACTGGGAGCCCGAGAAAAATAAAGTTTTATATTTATCAGATTTTTTATGCAATTCAATTTTGACTCATCCCAGGGAATTTTGGTAATCTCTTCATTCTTGTTTTTATTGGTACATCCATTTTAATTTGTCATGGCTTGAATAGCATTATTTTCATATTTAATTTTATTGTTTTATTTAATTTTATTTAATTTTATTTATTATTTTATTTTATTTGAATTAATTTAATTCCATTTTATATAAACAATTTTTTTTGACTTAATTTGATTTTGCTTTTTTTATTTTCTATTTTGCTTTATATAATTTTATATTTATATATTTGATTTCATCTAATTTAATTTATTTTAATTTAATATAATATAATTTAATTTTGTTTAATTTACTGTTAGTTATATTAATTTTTTGATTTAATTAATTTAATTTTATTTTGTTTCTATTTATATTATTTATTTTTTTATTTTATATTTGTTATTTAATTTAATTTAATTCATTTTAACTTAATGTAATATAATTTAAATTATTTTGTTTAATTTTCTGTTAGTTATTTTAAATTTTTGATTTATTTAACTTAATTTAATTTTATTTTGTTTTAATTTATATTATATATTTTTTTGTTTTATTTTTTTAATTTAATTTAATTCATTTTAATTTAATATGATATAATTTAATTTTGTTTTGTTTTTGTTTTTGTTTTAGTTATATTAATTTTTTTATTTATTTCATTTTATTTTACGCGATTTAATTTAATTAAATTTAATTTAAAATATTTTATTTTATTTTGTTTACAATCTTTTTATTTAAATTAATGAATTTAATTTTGTTTTATTTTTTATAAATTTATTGGATGTTATTTTATTGTTTTATATGCTTTTATATCTTATTTTATTTAATTTTTTCTTTTACTTAATTATGTTTTATTTAAGATTATTTCATTTGGCATTTATATGACTTAATTTAAACTAATGTTTTTTAAATTTGGATTAAGTTAATGTAAGAGAACTTTTTATTCTATTTTATTTCTGAGCAAGTTGAGATTTATTTTTTTACAATTCGGGCTCTACAGCATAGTTTTAGGCACAGCACCACACTGGCAAAAAAAGTGGGGAAATGCATTTTGTGCGGTTTGTTTAACAACGAGGCTTAAGCGTAATGAAGGAGACGTGCAGTGAGCATTGCTTACAAATATTAAGATGAGCCTTAAATGATTTTTAGAAAAATCGAGTATCTGAATGTAAGAATACGAGAGAATGAAAGTGTTTTTAATCCCAATTATATATGAAACATGTATGATTATGCACTACTACTGTTGATTAGTTAATTTTTTTCCGTAAAAAATTAAAATCACTTTTCAATGCTGACTTAGAATTTACACATTTTCATTCATTTGCTCAGGCACATTTTGCATTTTTAAACACACGCACACAGATGTACATATATGCGTAGGCATTGCTATTTTAATTTGCTTGGTTAAAATTAAGAAGAGGCAAATGCATTTTACTAAAAAATTTGCTATCGAAAAAAAAAAAAAAAATATCAGCTTATAAGTTTGTAGCTTTTCTTGATTGTAGTCGGGCATTGCTGTGTTGCTGCTGAAAACATTTAATGCTCCGTTGTAGTTGCCAGATTCTCCGAAGTATTTGCAATGTTGACACAAATTACGGGAACTGTAAAAGAAAATTTTAAGAATCTGTTTGATCGTCTTTTGCTTTTAATATTTTATTTAAAATGTGTTGAAGAGATGTTTTTTTTTTATTCGTACTTACAATGAAATGTGGCGCGGAGAAGAGTACCGCCAAAGTGGCAATTATTGTGAAAAGCGTGAAAATTATAAGGCACAAGCGATCTACTACCATCGCTGCGAATTTCCAATCGCGCGTTACATCACCCGTTTCATCTTCCTTCTTCAACTGCAAATATAACAAATAAATTTGTTTTCAATTATTATACGAGTAAATCATAGGAAATCACGTATTCGAAAAGTGAATTGTCTGTTTCGGTATCTTCGGATCTTCACTTAAATAAGATATTAAATTAGTTTGGTTAAGTTGGCTGATCTTAAGTATATTTCACACGGACTTAATGGGACGCGAAATAAAACACAGGGCGCCTCAGATGATCTGGTAAAAAGTCAAGCATCACTGAATGAATACCAATACAAATGTCCACTTTAGATTCTTTGACCCTGCTCTAGGTCCTGGGTGCTATTCGCATTTAACCTATTGGACGATTTACAGCTGTATTTGAACGGAGTCTTCTTTCGGAGGGCTCAGGAAACGAGCTGTTTCGACAGGTTGGGATCAGAGGTAAAAGGGGTTAGATGAGTAGGTTTTAAGAGGCATGCAAAGATGTTGCTATGATCGTACGGGGTCTCATTGTACGCAGGACATACGATGGGTAATTCCGATAAGTAGGAAGTAAGTCGAATAAAAACTGAATTATGACAGTTTTACGGACAACTCTCACCACAGCCGGTTCTTACGCAGATGAGTATATCCGGAATCATGGTATTACAGATAGCCCCAACTCGGATTGCATCGATTTCTATCAGCCTTGGACCCTTTGGACACGCAACCATGGAAGCTAAATTTTCATACTGATTTTTCTGACATATTATATCATCTATCGTTGAAGTCTTTCTAAAAACAATACTCGGCTAATCAAAAATTTTAAAAAAAACTTTCTAAATTTTTCTGTTGGAATGCGTAAAAACACATATGTACATAAATACGTATATGCCATCCCAAGTGATAGAAATACCTTTTTGCATACATATACATATGTATATAGATACTCGTATGCACACAATGCCTTTATGTCACGATTCGGATGCAAAAGAAATATAAAACTATTGTTGCTTTGACACGTCAATGTCGCGATTGAAGCAAAACAAATCATTGAATCGAAGAGCAAGTTGATATTAGGGTGTGGTGCAAATGTGATGAATGTTGCAATTTAGATATGATTTCCATTGGCCAATCACCAATTGGCTGATATAATGGTTTGCTTTAAATTTTTGTATGAAATAATGAAATCGTTATTTAGCACAAAATCGGAAGCGACAAACTTACGATTTCGACTAAATTACGAAGAGAACGAAAAGAAGATTTCAGAGTGAAGTCATTAAAAAGTCCTTTTTGAATGATTTTAAGGCAAATTTATTATGTTTCGATCTTATTGCCCAAGCACACGCGTCTTATATTCTTTTTTAATAAATCCATACCACACTAATGCACATTTGCATAACATACAAGCCAAGGAGAAAGAGGTCACAATCCTTCACGTGTGTTGCGCTGGCGCCTGCATGTCATTGGAAAATCACTATTTTATCTTCGTCAAATCTAATTTCCATGAATGACATCAATAGCACCGAAAACAATAGATTGTCGATGGAGCTCGTTATCGCACAATTTGTGTTTTCGCGCTTCGTTGGTGTTTGGACTATTATGTGTATTTCTGCTTTTCACGCGAAGCCCAGTTGTCAAATCTTACTCATGTGATTGTCAATAAACTCTCACACCCATAGAAGTTATTGGTTAAAAGCCAAAGACGGATTTAAAGATTTAAGATTATAAATTGCCGGCAACTCTTTCGCCTTACCTGATCTGTAATCCATCGCAATTCTTTGAGGATAAGCGCTAGTTCATATTCCGCCGAAGAGCTGAGACAGGTGTGCGACATGGCCTCGTGCATGCGCGTATCACCGACCGGGCCAACAGGGCCGACGGGGCCCACTGGCCCGACACTGCCGTCATCGCCTTGCCTGCAAACAGGGAAAGGTGGTGTATTAAATAAATATGTGATTGCAAGTATTTTATGTGTGTTTTGGTTGTGTGAAGCACAAACACGTCAATGGTCTTTGGTAGACGCAATCGATGCTACTGCGTTGTCATTTCGTTTCACTAAGAGGAAAAATTGCCGCAATTAAATGCAATCGTTTCGTTTCGGCGCCATGTAATCAAAACGAAATGAAATCGTTAACGTTGATTTTAAATATCTGCTCGTTATGATTTAACAGCACACCTCAATTTTAACATTTCCATTATCTGTTAACGATTTAACATTTACGGCAGCTTTTCCTTTCGGGTAAAAGTGAAAAGAAGCTTATTTGGATGTTTCAAACGAAACGATTAATGCGATATTCAGATAAATTGTCTACAAACGTGTGTATTTATTTCAATCATGAACATGCATTTGTTGAAAAAACTTCTACAATCACACGAAAAATTAGAGAAGAAACTCTGCCGAAAATATGTATAAATGATATAATTTTTTTCTTGGTGTAACGATATTTTTTATTTATTTCATATTATAATACAACTTAAATATATTTTTGGATTTCAAATCAATTCAATAAAATTTATTTTAGTTTAATTTTTATTTTTCTTTTAATTTTAGCTTAATTCTATTAAATTTTTATAATTTACTTTTATATTCTTAGCAGCTAATGCGGTGAATACTTTAGTGTAATATTTTATATTATTCTAATAAAAGTAATAATACTTTTATTTTTTTTTTATATTATTTTTACTGGTATTATTTGATTCAATTTTATTTCTTGTTTTAATACCTAATAATCAATTTAATATTTTCTTAATATGTTTTTGGTTTTTTTTATTTAATTTCATTATACATATGTATTTTATTTATTTTTTAAATTTATATTAATTTACTATAAATAATATTTTATGAATTTCTTTTAATTTATATTATTTTACTTAATTTCATTTTATTTAAATTTGTCTCTTTTTATTTAATTTAAGCCTGGTTTACATGCTTGGTTCAACAAAATTTTTGCAAAAGATTCAGTTCTCATTCACCTGTACATGGCGCGGTAGTAGGTCGGCTGATGTGGTAATGTGGCGCTGGCGCAGCGATGATTGCAGCGAAAGTCATCGTCAATATCCAGTACATTGGCCAGTAAGGATTTCGACGATCTGCTTGTAAAAGATTTCATACACATTTTTCAATAGAATGGTAAATGGATAAACATATATTTGTGATAACATATGAAAGTTTGCTTATAATTTTAGGTTTTATAATAAAACTTATTTTTATTATAATTGTTGTATTGCGAATCAAATTATTATCATTTATGCAATTCAACTGAAATCTATGTTGACAAATGACTTCCTTCAAAATTTAAACAATATAAATATAAAAGTGAATTGTGTATAAGAGTTTATGGCATGCCATAATTACCTTTCCTTAAGCTCGACATTTTGCATTTGATGCTTTTTATCGCCGGCATTGGATGAACTCGATGACGACGGCGGCGGCGGGCATTCGTAGCCGACCTGTCCCGGCCTTTGCATCCGCAATATGCAAGGTAACCAATAAAGGAATATTACTCTTATCTGCATTGGCAGGCGGGTTTGCAAGTGGACGGTGTGAGAAAACGCGACAGCGATAGAAAGAGATAGGGAAAGAGTAGTGTGCGGGTATTGACGGTTTAGTACAGTTTAGTACAGTTTCGGTTTCAAGTTGTCGGTTTTTTAGTTTCAGTTTCAAATTCAAATAGTTTGATGGAATTTTTCATGTTTTTGTTGTTTGTTGCGTTTGTTTGATTTGATTTGTATTATTGGTTTTGGGTTTTGTATTTTTCAATATCATTTCGGTTGGGTGATTTTTTCCGCGCAGTTTTGAATGCATCCACACATTTAAATATTGTTGTTGTTGTTGCATGCAGTTTATAATTTTTATTTGTGTCAAAAAAGGGAACGGTTGAACGAGGCAATCAACACAACATAACCGGTCAGACAAGTAGTCGTATAATGTTGGTTCATAGAGATAGATGTTCGTTAGAAAGAGACAGATGTAGAGACAGAGACATCGAAACATCGAGTGCGAGTAAAGGAGGAGGCGATAGCAGATGGTCGACACCAAGCGTAGCAGTCATTCCGTTTTTAGAACAGCAACAAATACACAGCGCGCCCATTTCAATAGTACCGTTATTACAGTCAAAGCGTCGAAAATGAATATATTGAAATATTTAATTATATTAATGATAATTTTTTTTTAATTATAAATGTATGTAGTAAGTATTCATGTATATTTACACTTATGTATGTATATATAAAACTCTAAGAGGTACATATGTACAATAACGTAAGAAATTTATAAGTATTTTAAAGCTCTTGGCAACAACTTTGTGAATGCATTGAAAACCTTTTGGAAAGCGAATTTTCTTAAAGCTTAACAATTTTAAAGAAAGCTTCACGTATTATTAAATGGCAAGCAGAGTTTTGATTTTTAACAGTATTTTGTATTGTAAAAAGTTTCGTTAATGAAATGTAGCAAAGGCAATAGGCAACAGCAGTGGCAAAGGAATCTAAATGTGATAAATTATGAGGAGAGAGTTATGTAATGAAAACTTGAAATTTTTTTAGTTTTAAACTTGTTTTTATTATTCAAGTAGTCAGCAATCCCATTATAAAAATATGTATGAAATATACTAAGAAATTGTGTTAAATGTCTTTCCTTCGTTATATACGCATGTAAAGATGCTGATGCTGCATAGACAAATATCTCAGAAATAACCGATACGAGAAATGTTGTTATCCATCATTTTCAATTAAAAATACTACTCAAATTGCCTCATAACAATCTTTGGATCGTTATAATCACTTAGCGATAAAGTTAACGATTGTAATATTCGCTGTATTTATTTTATCGATATTTGCCATCGCTCACTACTCAACAAATCGGTAACTAAGCGACGAATATTTTGAAATTACCTAAGCTAGCCTAAGCTATCTAAGCCTTGAGACTCTTCGCAACTGGATGCTATCAACGTACCGTTGGAAAGCCATCGGAAATATCTAGAAGTCTGCCGTCCGAAAGCCGTTGCACCTTCCACATCACAGACGCAATCAACCGTTCGATGTTTTCTGCGAAGCCTAGATTTCCCACCATTCGTGGGAGGCATTATTGTTTTTGTGGATTACCCTCATGTGCATGCAGAAGCATGACCGATTCTCACATATTTTGACGTTTTGTCAAGCTTTTGTCACGCCTAAAACATACATCATACATTCCATACTACTCTTTTTAAGAATACGTTCGCTAACGAGACGAGTTGTATGATATCGACGACGAACAGTTGACGCGAAAGCAACAAAAACCGATGTTTTTTAAACGTTTGTGATACAATTATATATTTATTTCTATTTTATTCAATTTGCATATTTTTTTTTATTTGAAACTAATCGTGTTTATTGATTTTCGAATGGACATCCTGATAAGTATTTATTACCAAATATTTATTAGCAAACGCGAATATTCTTATACGCGTCACTGGGATGCCAACTTTCCTCAATTTTAATAAAAACAAAATGCAAGTTAAAAATCTGGAAAAATTTACCTTGAAAGCCTTTCTACATTTCATTAGCGATATTGTTATATTGTATTTGTTGTATAAGTGAAACAGGCAAGTTCATGTTTTTTTTACATGTGTGTGTTTCTTGTTGGTGCATGCAATTTTCGAAAAGAGATTTTTCAAAATCATTTTTAATTAAGCTATGAGTTGAAAAGTATTGCTTGTTGTTGATTTTATTATAAGAAAATTGTTGAATTTTGCATTTATAGCCCGTGAATTAAAAAAAAAAAACGAATTTTCCACTTCAAACACAGATGGATATATGCATATACGTATGTATGTATAGGAAAGCGTCAAGATGGCGTATATACGCCACTGAACAGCTCTACTAGTAAGGCAGGGTTGCATTTGTATGTACATAAATAGTTTAGATTTTAAGCAAGTATTTGAAAATGTGTGTGTGTGTGTGTGTGTGTATGTACGAGTATGTATATATATAAGAATAAATTTTGTGAAATTCAAGAATTTTTTTTACTCTTTTCTTATGATTTTTTATTATTTTCGAACTTCTAAGGTGAAAAAGTTCAGTCGAGACACTTAAATTAGAGAGATAAGAAATGCTAAAAGGTTAAAATAAAGTTCTTAGTATTATATGTGTCTGTAAGTATACCGGTAGGCATATGTGTGTGTGCTTGTAATTTGTATTTATTTGCTATGCGTCGTGGGTATTGTATATATATAAATATATAAGTATGTATAAAAGAATGTATGCATTTTACAGTATTTTTTGTTATAAATATTTACATATGAATATATGTATTGTATATGTATAATTATGTATGCCGGTATATGTATGTATATAAATGTTAGGAAAACAAGTTAGTGAGATATATTTATGTATGTAAATAAGGAAATTAATTAGAGTGTTTTCTGTTTTTTTCTTTATTTTATTTCTTTTTGCTTTAAATTGATTGCATATTTAGTAGTAGTATGTATGTATAATATTACCCATTCACTCATTTCATGCGTATCTGGATTTCTATGATGATAATTGAGGATAAGTATGGTTGACACAACTGATGAGGCCACCATAAACATAATGCAATTGAAATAACTTCCTAGAAGGACACAAAAATTACACAAATATTGTACGTACGTTTGTGTATGCGACGAGCGTTTGTGTTTGTACATACGCATACATATGTATTTATGTGTACTGACACATAATATTTTCTCTTATTAACGGTTACCAATAAATTTGCATATATGTAAGCACTCACTTTGTTTAAGCTCCTCTGTATGTTCACATACATACATACATACCTACATATATAGAAAGTTTCAGCGTAAGTCGCAGGCAACTCTCTGTGCATATATGTATGAATGTATGCAATGCAATTTAATTTCTGCACAACATTCTTGGTAAATTCTATTTTACTTCTTAACCGGTTAAGTGCAAAGCAAATATTCCGATGTTTTTTTTGGAAGAAACGTGTATATACAAAGTTGTTTTTCGTGCAATTTTTTTTTTAAGTTCAAAGTTATATATTGTTTTTAAATTTTCAGCCATCGATCTTTGCAATTTGTTGTATTGATGAACGAAGAGAGGGATAGTATAACTCCAGGGTTGGACGCTTCTGGCTAGCACATGAGCAGAGCTCTTCTGTGAGAATGCCAATAACCAAGGGTACTCTGTTTTCCAGAGATTTAGGGCCGTACTGAAGATGCCAAATGCATGCTTTTTTCATGGTAAAATCTATTAGGTATCTGGTAGACAGCAAAGCGGCCGGCAATGAATGCAATTATCAGTAATAACCCAAAGTAAAAAATCTTTCGCACATGTAAAGAGGCAAATTACAGACTGTCGCGGTAAAGAACAGTGAATATCACAGACCCAAGTCACACCGAGGTCGAAGGCAATGAGAGGGCGGACAAAGTGGCTCTTGTTGGCGCCGCAAGCACGGCTGTCATCTTTGGCGGCTTCAGAACTTTCAGCTCATTCATGTACTGTCTAGAGCAGTAGACCATTGAGGAGCCCTTAAGGTGCTGGAAAACTTCCACCTTACGGATGTGTCAGATCCTCAGCCTTGCTTTTAAAGCAACCAACTCTCCAATATCTGTTGAAGACAATCATGAACGTAAACTATTTCGGCGGAAGCTCTTTATTTTAAAATTATTTATATTTCCTTTCATTTCCCATTATGTCCCACGGAACAACCTGATTGGTATTGCAATTCTGTATAGTTGAATTTGCTTCATTTTCGCTCTGCTGGTAAAAACAAAACGCGCTGATATTCAGAGATGATGTGAAGAAATGACGAGAAGGAATTTAACAGTTATTTTTAAGCAAAGCCAACAAAGCATTACAATGCTTGTCATACTAAAATATTGAGAAACGATGACAGCTGGAAACCAACTACTCTTCGCTTGTCTCCGAACACATTTAGAAAGCTACCCAAGAGCTCTCTAAAGATTTGTGGTCGCCCTTAAACAAATCTACTCAAACAATGTAAATATTTAATATTGGATATTATTTTAAAACTCTCAAAGGCCAGCCCTCTGTTTGTAAGGCACTATTTTCAATTCAAGGTTTTGCACCCTCCTCTTCGTGTCATCAATACTGCATTTTTAAAAGTGAGAGTCAAGTTTACTTTACTTATATTCTTCTCGAATTAAACTCTCTTCATATCTTCTTTCTTTGCCGAGCTCTTTGTAAGATGTTAATTTTTAGTATGAAAAATTCAAAATTTACACAAAACAAAAAAAAATATTTAAATTGTGATTAAAATAGAAGAAAAACACTTCGTGAACAAACTATATATTATATATATGATAACAAGACGGATTTATATATTACACAAACTGTATTGTTGTACAAATATTATTCATAGCATAAATGTAAGTAGTTAGTTAAAAAACATTTGAATGTAATCATCAAAGCATTTAAAAATTATACAATACATTTCACATAGTAAGTTTATTTAATGGATATTCTATTTTACAGCAACAAATATATGTATGCATATTTATTTATTCATACACCTCAAAAAGGAAAAAAACTCCTATATGCTAACACCTGACAATTGAGACCGATACTGAGAGCGAGAGCGAGAGCGAGAGCGAGAGCTACCTAAGTTAAAGACACGTTGTCTCTATACAGACATATATATGTATAAACGCGGCTAGAGATCCCAATACCAACAACAACAACGTCGGGCTCAAATCATGCGGTAAACGTAAAATTTTTCAAAAATATTTTCAATTTTCCAGTTGTTTTTTCTAACGAAAATTAGTATGTTTTGCACATGTGTATATATACCTATATGTATGTTGTGGTGGGGTGTGAATAATTTGACGTCTGATCGTTGATTTGAACCTGGCATTGTTGTCTATATATTTCAACCCTTTTTTATCACAATTCGTCCGTGATAATTTTGTTGATTTAATCTGTGCACAACCAATTATCCGCAATCATCATGCTTTTGTTTTAATGCTTACGATTTTTCTCCATATTGTTTTTTTTGTTTTTGTTTTTTTGTGGCCTTAGTTTTAAACGGAACTTTCTTATTTGATTTTAGTTGTTGTTTTTTCTGTTTTCAATATTCTTATGTAAGTATAATATATTGTCAGTGGATGGACGGGGTGAATGGGACGTTAGAGGGTTAGAGGGCTAATGAACATTGATTGTAGTAGAGTAGAGTGAAGTAGAGTTGTTGTAATTGGGACAAGCACTGCAGTATTGAGGCTGTTCCTTCAAATTTCTCTTGCTTATCTCAAAATTTGAATTTTTGTTACGTTTGAGAAATTCGGCTTAATACTTGGTAAATATTCGCTGAATTTTTGAATAGTCAATTGATTTTGAATTTAATCTCAGTATAGTCAATTATCTTTAAGGAATAAATAGTTGATTTTTTGTTAAGATTTTAAGATAGGAACACGTGTTTGAAACCTATTTTAGTTTTTGGAATCCAAATATCCAATGCACTTTTCTCTTTTTAATTTGTATTGACGGTACTGTGATCCAAGTATATATGTGTGTTGTACTTGAAATTGGGATTTAGCAAAGGCATTTGGTGGTATGCGTTTTTGAAGTTTTGCGCAGAGCATGTAATAAGTAGTTGGTATGTGTGGTATGGCGCGTCATTGGAAGTGACTTTGGCTATAACAGTATTTTCATTCATTTGTTGGTGAGATGTCATTGATCTAGGGTATATTGCTACATTTGGTATATGCGCTTGGTACAATATATGGATTAAAGTTTCATATTTGTTGGTGATTATGGATTAATTTGCTCACTAACTAACATTTAATATCTAATTAACAACGGATTTTGATTATTTATTTATTTATGTTTTATTCATGTTAAGAAAGGAAAGGATTATGCGCCGAATTGGGGAACGTGCCAAGTGAGTAGCATATCAAAGAATATACTTTATTTTTGGCACATAAAATATTCTTTAGACATTTCTTTTTTTTTGTACATAAATTTAATGAATGAAAATTTCAGAGCACTCTGGAACAGTCCCCAAAGGCATTTTAAGAATAAAAAAGTGATTAATATAGAATTTAGAAAATTAATGCAAAATAGAAACGTATACTCTTCGTAAAAGAGAGAGAGAGCGGCAGAGAGGAAGAGAGCAAAAGAGAAATATTGTGATTAAAAAAATGTGGTGACGCTCCCAACAATAAATCAATGTCGCTTTACAATCAAGGTAACCCTTCCAAAAACTTTCATAAGAATAATTACATTCATATCTCTAATGTAGCATACTATTAATTTAATTTATGAAATAAATTTCGTTAAAACAATACCATTTCTACTTGCATTAATTTACCACTCTCTAAGGTATTTATTTGTTTATTTGGTCTGGTATTTACAACTTTTTTTAAACTGATACACAACTATTTACAAAATTTTATTTACGAATTACTTGCCTTCAATAAAAATAAAAAATGTCACGAGTACGAGAAAATGAAGTTAATAAAACGTTTTATGCAACGAATGAGTGATCAATTTTCACATTCAATAAATAAAATGATTTCAATGAACTGTGTATGCTCCAGCACAGGAAGGCACGAGAACAGTGAATAATGAAGAGTTGAAAAATCGAAGAATGAATTAGAATATGCAAAAAAAAAAAATTAAATTAATAAGCTTTGGACTATGCAATAAGCGGGAAAAATTAAGGGTTGGTTGATTGCTTAAAGCTTCCAAACCAAGGCTTTCTATCCAAAAAAAAAAAATAAAATAAACACATATGTATAAAAAATATTTCAAAAATTGATTATTTTGCAGACATGTTTTGGATGGAATGTTGAAAGTGAAAGTCACAAAAGTCGGACGACAATAATTTACAGCTTCCACTCAATTGATTTTTGAGAAAACTTTTCTACTGGCAGATTTCTGTATATGGAAAAGTATAGAATAAAATATTTATAGTAAATATCACGTAAATCAAAAGAGAAGAGCTTATAACATTTATGCTGCCAAGACCATAAAACTTAGTGTTCGGTTAGGAAAAATTCGATTGAATATTAGGACGAAAGTCGAGAGCGGGTAACTGTAGCATGATTCTGCAGATCATGAATTAATTGAATAAAAAAATAATAATAACAAAATTAAAAATAATAAAAAATGAAAAAATCTAAAAATACGTTTCTTTTGCAAAGCACAAATTCAGAAAGAGAAGCAAAATTGGGAACAGAAAAGCATCATCATAAGATGGAAGAAGCAGAACATGTAGAAGTGGTAGAGAGAAAAGCGTAAGAGCCGAGCAAAACAGTTATAATAATAATAAGAAGAAGAAGTATGGAATGTGGCAACAAATTACGCAAGACAGACAGGCGTTAAGAAATTGAAAGAGAAAAAGTAAGAAACCAAGTAGAGAAATTAAGTAAGAAGTTAGAACGCCGGCAAATGCTGGCAGCTCAGCTTTCCGGTTTGTGGGCACAATTTATTTACTACGGTACATTGTTTTTTGTAAAGCTTACAATCTTTATTCTACAGTTTTACGGCGACTTTTAATTTTTTTTTTTACTAATTTTTAATTTTTTTACAATATTTTTTTTTACTATTGAATTTCTATTTATTAACAAATTTATATTTTTTTAAACATATCTATTTTTAAACCTTTTGCTAATTTTTATTTTTTTTCTTACTCTTTCTTGCAAGCTCATTTGTGTTGCTGTGCAGACCAACAAGAACGTTTTTTCTTTCACATTATGTGGTGGTTCGATCGACAAACAAATAAAAAGGTTGGTAAGCCACATTTGGCGCATTGGGTTCTTGGGCGCTCCCAAAGGTGACGTGTACGCTTAGCGTTCGCCACGGGACAGAGCATCGTTGGGTCATTTGCCCACCAGGGTAGCAACATGTATGTGCATATGTATGCATGTCGCTGCGCTTATGGCATGTGGCAAGTGAGTTAAGTAAGTGTTTGAATTTTTGGCAACAAATAGACTTTTGTCTTGCTCATTTATGTTTGCTTTTTCGCTTTTTGTTGTTGCTTTTAAAAGCATTTAAATTTTTTCCTTTTGTGTTTTGCAACAGCATATTTTGCTTGTTTTTCCCCTGCAAAATGTTTTTACGCATTTTATTCTTATTTATATATTGTTTGTTTATTTATTTGAGCTTTGTTTTTGTTTATGTGTGGTTGTTGTGGTGCTCTTTGCATTTGGGTTAAGGATTAAATGTATATAAGAATAAATATTTGTATTTTGCTAGTTTTCTATTTTTTTTTTTAATTTTTGTTGTTGTTGTTTTTTGCTTTGCTTGCCATACCAGTCCTCTTTTAGTTTTAGATTTTTTTTGGGGAAAAATTTGTGAGCATGTGCTGGTGTTTGTGTGTGTGCGAGTGTGATATTTTGTGGCAAACATTTTAGTTTCTATTTAAATTTATTGCTTAGTTATTTGTTATTGTTCTTACATATATATTTATTTTATTTTTTTTTTGGTGTTGTTTATAGCATTCCATAAATAAAACTACTTATTGGTATATTTGTGTTAATGCTTTCGTGTTCGGTTATTCGAGTGCAGTGCATTGCGGTGTTTGTGGGGGCGTATGAGCAACATTTCCCAGGCCTCACACGCCCTCCACTGCTCTGGCGTGTATCTATGTGTGCGCGTGTGTGAGTGCCATTGCAGTCGTATATTGTTTGTAAGTTGGTCAAACATAAGCATGTATGTGTGCGAGTGTGTGTGTGTGTGTGTGTGTGTGTGTGTGTGTGTGTGTGTGTGGTTGGTGTTCTCTTTGCCAGCGAGTGGCGCTGTGCGTGCATTCTGTTGCCGAATGTTTATTTACATACTTTTTGGGTGGAAAGTATTTACATTCTTGTGTTTGTTTTTATTTTCATTTAGTCTGATTGCTTTGTTTTGGTTTTTCGGTTTGTTTTTCTGTTTGTTTCTTGGTATTTTTTTATCGGTTTTTGTTTCACTTCTAACCAAGAGCATTAGGAAAAAGGAAAAGAAGTTAAACATTTCTTTTAGAATAAAACAAAAAAATTGCGCAAAATATGCTGTGTAGTATTAGCTGTTTTCTGAGCCTTTGCGCAAATTGCTAAATATTGTAAAAGAGACACAAGCAAAAATATTTGGGTAGAAAATATAAATAAACAACGACAAATAAAGCGCGTCCCGCCGCCGACGACAGTGAGTACATGCACTTTAAACGATAGCTGATGCAATGTAATGTGTGTATGTATGTATACAGAATGCATTTTATGCTTGAACACTACATACGTACATATGTATGTATAGAAAGATTTGTTAGAAAATTATTTGCAGCAAATGGGCAAGCACTTTATTAATTTATTTCGAAATAACAGCTCGTCTAGAAATCCTTTCATAATAATCGTGCAAATAAATAAATATAAAAATTAGCTAAAATTAAGTCGAGAATGTTGGGGGTGTAATTGGGTGAATTGTGGTGGCACCCTTGTGCAAGATGCGGTGCCCCAACCGAGTGGCACGTGGAGTCACGGCTAAAGGAAACGAAGCTTCAGTGAAGCCACATCTAAATGTTTGGATTAAGGGCTCGCTTAAGTCTATAGCAGCGTTTGTTAACCAGAACTGCGGCGGCAAATGTGCATGCATTGGATGAGAAGCTCCTTTTTTGATGGCGACCACGGCATGCAACTGGATTCCGAATCCTTAATTAATAAGGCTGACGTCACTGCCGTCAAAAAAGTATGATTTATAGGGCAAGGACGAAAAAAGTGGGTCCTTTTGATATTTACCACTGAGACTCTGTCGCTTAGTCTGGGCATTCAGTCCGGTAGATGAACGTCAAGCCACAAACCATAGCAAAGTGATTCAACATACCGCTGATTTGCCCATGACCCGACGGAACTTCACTGACTGAACCTCATCACGCCGCTGTGTCTGAGAATTTATACTGCTGTGTAAACTAACGTTATGTAACGCTAAAAGCTCCCGTAAGAGCCAGAACGAACACTGCGAGTCATGAGGTCGCAGGCAAGACAATGTCTCAAGAAATCCAACGCAGAATCACTCATGCTAACAGCCTATGCTTTGGACTGAGAAGGAAATTGACGAACAAATACCAGACTCTACAAGTCATCCTTAATTCCCGTCCTGCTATATGGTGCAGAGGCATAGACGATGACAATATCTGATGAGCAGGCGTTAGGAATTTATAAGAGAAAGTTTATGCGTAAGAGTACTGGTCCTTTGCGCGTTGGCAACGGCGAACACTTCCACCGATGGAACCATAAGCTGTACATGACCTGGGCTGCGTCATGTGGTCCGAATGGAAGAGAATACTGCAGCTTTGAAAGTTCACGATGCAGTACTGGCCAGTGGAAGCAAAAAGTTCAAGCGCAGAAGTACCTGGTTGTACTTGGTGATTCCAATTGGCGTCAGACTTTGAAAAGAAGTAAGGGATGACGCAGCTTTGATAACTCGGTACAATCAGTGCTTGTAGCAGGAAAGAAGAAGAAGAAAAAAGGGAATTAATTGTAGAACTGATTAAAACCTGGATATCACCTAGATAACCGGTACAAGCCCCTGCAAAACACGGCTCAAATTGAATTTGACTAATTTTCAAAAGCTTTTTTTGTAGAGCTTTCATTAAGCACAGAGGGACTTTTGAATTTTTTTTACGGTTTCTGCAAGTAATTTCTAAATGAATTTAATGGCGTAAATGCAATAAGCCAAATGTAAAATTTTTTGAAAGATGTAGAGAGAAAAGATGAAAAAAATGTAAAACTAAAAAATTTAAATATTATCTAAATTCCAGGGTAATAGTACAAAAATAGTTTTGTGATTTTATGTACAGTAATTATGGTATGGGAGATTTTAATGTGGGATAGTGAGGTAATGCGAGCAGGAAAAAACTACACTTTCTGTGAATTTTTTTAATTTCCTTTGTTACAACTAACTAACGACATAAGTATTTACAGTTTTTTATTAAAAGTATATATTTACAAGTTTGTATGAAGGAAACCTTAAAATTCTTCATGAATATTTTGCTACTTTATATGTAAGATAGGTATGTGTCAATAATAATACATATTTATATAAGAACGGTAAATGGTAGCATTATTTAAATTAATAGAGGAAAAATGCCAGCAAATGCGCTCGCTACTTCAGTAAGATGTCTTTGCAGATCACATTACTCTACTTTAAATGTATATAGGATCCACTAGTCCAAACGAAGCATTTCAACCAAGCTCAGTAGAGCACACAATGAAAATCTATGACTTTATTTTTAGGTACAGACATTCAAGGCTTTAAATCAATAAAAACTAAAAAATATTAAATAAAAAATTTCCATTTTTTAGGGTTCTTTTTTGGTAATTTCATAGAGAAAGTATGGGAACTAAAATTCTTCCCTTCTTGGGACCCTCTCAAGAAATCAGAAGTCGCTGCTATTTTTTGTTTAAATTTTTTTAAACTTATATTTTTTTATATTATTTAGTTATGCTTTGATTCTTCAATTTTGTGTGTTTTCATAGAAGTTTTTCAAACGATTTAATTAGACTATTTCCTACAGAAACCTTGAAAATTGAAAGAAATGTGTTTCATCTGATAAAGGAGCCTCAGTAGGTAACTCGACTAAAGTCTCTTTTCTTAAAAAAATATACAATTTACCGAAGTTACTTAAAAAACTTTTAAAATCCATGCCCAATATGTTTTGCTGCCCAAACGGCACTTCCATTTAACAAATATCCTTTCTTAATGTATGTGTTTGTGTATTTCTAAGTTCCCTACAGAAAGTGACAATAATTGCTAACTAGAGTACTAAAATTTCCCAGTCTTACACCAACCAGCGACTGGTGCTTTTAACACGGCGAAACGATCTTTATTTCGCTATGTATCAGCTTTGTACTACTTAAATACCAGTCACTTTATGAATGTTTCCTTTCTATTTCGAAAAATTAAAAAAAAACCCAAAAGTTAAACTAACCGAAAATATCCAAGGAACATCAACAAAACAAAGATAAAATTCTCATCTTCTAGTGGGAATCCGTCCAACTTACCTAGAAGCGGCACTGCATCAGAGGTCGCTGGCATCGTTTCGGCCACCATATTAAGGAAGACTGTTAGCGATAGTAGAATTGTAACTCCTGCAAGTCGACAGATTTTTATTAAGAAGGAGACAAAAGAAATTAAATTTTCAGAAAATTCTTATTGAATGCAACGAATGGCATAAATTAATTTAGATACTTTTTTTTGCTGTTTTTGTTTAACAAATTTCTTTTAAATCACTAGTTACTAAGAAGAATGATTATATGCAACGGTTATTAGCATCAGTGTATAAGTTTAGTTGTAGTTGTTATTGTTATTGTTGTTGTTGTTGAGAGTAGCTATGCTCATTGTGTAATTTTGTAGACTTCTCTCCCATTACTGCAGACTCATGATTGTTTCACAATAAAAAACTTTATTTATTTTTTCTGTTTATCCTTAAAATGCGTGTATGGACGCAGAAGATTGCATTGACGGCTGACACTTTGTGTTTCCGTTAGCCTGTTAGCGGTTCTTGATGATTGTCTTACGCACACACTCCCATATATGCTAAGCAGGTGTTGTTGTAATTAGTTTTCTTGCTGTTGGTGTTGTGGTTGTTGTTTTTACACCCCTCTACTGGTCATCAATTTAGTGCAAATAAAAAACTACTACCATATTCTCTGCGCTGAACCTCGATGTTTGTGTCATTGTCATGTGTCAGCTGTCATCAGTCATGAATATTCAGTCAGTAGTAAACACAAAAAGTCATTTGTTTTTTGTTTCGAAGTTTTTAATGTAATGTTTGCTGTTGTTGTTGTGTAATTTGATAACTCTGAAGGATATCAATCATAATTAGTGACATTTGTTGGTTATTTCTTTAATATCTTCTCTTTTCTATTTAAATTTTTATTTTACTTTAGCGTGAGTTTCAGCAAAAGTCGCATGCGAAAAAGGAAATGTTGGACAGATGTTTGGTTAAAAATTTGGCTTTTTAGTAATGGCAAAACATATTATGAAGCAACTTTTTAGGCGCACTCGCAAGGCAATCTACATAAATTCGTTTTCTTAACGCGCAGGCAAGTAAAGAACTGAATACATTTTCTGCATATAAAATTCAAATGGATATAACGAACTGCGAAGTGTGAATGCGAATTAGCAAAATTCACGCTGCTACACGCTCAATATGCGGTGCAGGTATATGTGTATGTGTCATGAGAATTTTTACGGTGAATTTTTTATATTCCATGGAGTTCTTTTCAAGAAAAAAGATCCAGCAAGTCGTTTTCATATTTTCTCTTCTTCAGCTGCTGCAATGTGTTATATGACTTCATTGTGTTCATGTTATGCTGTACCTCAAAGGTGAGGTTTTGCGTCTTGATGTTTTTCCTCCGAACGGCTGGTGGTTTTGTTTACGGGAAGCCTTTATTTCATGTCCGAAATGAACTCGGAATAAACCAAAACAACATAAAATAAATTTAAAAAAGAGATGAAATGAAATAAAACATAATAAAAAAAAAAAAATAGGGTGAAATAAAATAAAATAAAATAAAACAAAATAAAATAAAATAAAATAAAATAAAATAAAATAAAATAAAATAAAATAAAATAAAATAAAATAAAATAAGGTAAAATATAATAAAATCCTATACTTATATAATGAAAAGCAAATTCGCTTTCGTTTATTGCTTCACCCCTTTGCTTTATTTCTTTGTTGCTGCGAACACGTTGCAGTATTCATCAGCTCCCTTGAGGCAATGAAAATGAAACTACGTCGGCTTCACTTCCTCATTCGCTTGTGACTCTCATTTCATGCATATTATTTTGTAGTGGGGTATCCTCTCACCCTTGGTGTACATGAGTACTCCGTTGAAAAGTATTTAAATATTTGCAGAGGACTCTTTTATTCTTCGCTGCTCCGGCTGCCATCATGCAGTGCTGTGTGGGTCAAGGTTGCTTTGTGACTGTGTGTATGAATGTGTGGGTATGCCTTTATGTTTCTATGCTTGTTATGCATACGCTGACGGATTTCTGATTCAAAAAAAAAAATTTTTTTTGATATTTTTTTTGTCGCTTTGACGTTTGCTAAGAGCGTCTTGGTTTTTGCTTTTATCGCTGCTGTTGTTGTTCACATTGATTACAAGTGACAGAATTTTCTTTTATTGCGCTCCCATGCACTGACGTAGACGACAAGAGTTTTTGTATATTTTTCGTGCCGTGCCCTTAACTCCTTCCTCCTTTCTCTTCCGCATCAACTTTTTTTTCGCCTTACACATTCTCTCTTCGCTTGTGGGCCTTAAATTGAATTTAATGTTACATTTATCATAATTTTGTGACAACGTCAGTACTAGCCGTTACAACACATATATACACACTCGACTAGTTTATGTGCGTTGCAGATGCGCCGCCTTGCGAAATCTTACTCAACAGAGCGTGGGATTTTCATGTCACGTAATCGCGACAGCAAAACTTTCTGTTATTTTCGAGAAAATATTAATTTTTATATTTTCAAGTTGCGAAGCGTGAGACGTGTTCGATAGTTTGTTTGTTTGCTAGTTGTAAAAGCAAATGCGAAATTGATTAAGTTGCGCCAGTTCCTGCTCTCTACAACAGTGCTCATAAAATAAAATAAAATAAGAAATTGATTAAGTTGCGCCAGTTCCTGCTCTCTACAACAGTGCTCAGCTAAACATTTCAGTTTTCTTGTTTCTTTTTCAATTTTAAATATTCCGTCAGCAATAATTTGAAATAAAAAAAGGAAGTGTCGAAAATCCGGTGGTTCAAATTCAACGCGCTATTAATGCCGACAATGACGACGTGTGTTGGTGTTGCTTTCAGACTCATGAATACAGTTATACAAGAATAGATTTTTAACAGCAAGGCCGCAGACAGGTCGCTATATGCTTTGCCATTACTAATAAGTTTTTTACGTAAAAATTACATACTAAGGAGTTTACGGTCTTTCTTTGGTTGGGTAAACGGTTTGCACAGCTGATGATATAAGTGTTCCTGCAGGGCATACCCTCCGAGTGTATTTCTGTCATAAAGTAAAAGCTCCTCAGGAAAATCCTTCAGCCGTTCGTAGGGGGCTTGGCTTAAGCTGTTGGAAAAATACACCTCAAATTGGAGAAGGAGCTCGGTTAAACATCGCTTCAGCGGTTACAAAGCGCCATATATACATAGGGTTATGCTTTTCAGCAACCAAACTTAACTGTCAAACCAAGCATGTTTTGCCTTCACTAAAAGTGAGGCATTAGGACCTCCATCTACTTCCATATAAAGTCCAGCTCACACAACAATTGAATTCCGCCGAATAAGAAGCAGTGGACGGCGATTTTTCGAACAAAAGTTTCTTCAGCGCCTAGAAACATATCTCTAGTAAATTGTCGTATTTGGCGCCCCAATGATCATCAAATAATTGGAAAAAAGCCATTGTACGGCTGAATATGCGTCAATTAGTGGAAGAAATTTACCTCAAACTGCCGTTAAAGAAAATTGGCGAGGCGGTAATTTGAATGATGTAGTGTTCTACATATATTGTACTACCGAGGGTCAAGCTTATAAAAAGGAAATTTCATGAAAAAGTTATTTTAAATGCGCTTTGTTTTAGTTTATTTTTGAAACCGCATAATGGATGACCCACACTTAATAATATTTTATTGTAATTCAATCTAAAAAGTTTGCTATTGTAAAATGGGGCAACCCAAGCGAGAAAATTGCCCGAGTTGAGGGTCCATTAGAATCATCTATCATCAGCTGTGCTAACATAAATATAGGATTGAAGGCTGGAAGGACAGCTAGTTAACAAACTTGATTTCCAAAGTCGCATGCATTCTCCAAGGGTCGCCTAAGGAATATTTCTTTTCAAAACATACCGTACAATATTTTTGGGGGTAGCATTCTTATATATAAAAATTAAGAAGTTAATTTTGTGTTCTAAACTTTCGATTGAACATATTTTTCAAACTGGGTTATCTAATGACGTATTACCGTTCGGTATTTTGGAAAATTTTCTCTGGAAATGTTTCTAAATTGATACTGCAATGAAGGGGCGGACTTACCTAGCGAGAGCTTCTCACCAGAATCGGGGGGCAGTGTGAACCCTAGCAGTGCCATAGAGGCTATCAGTACGCACGGCACAATTAAGTTAAAAAAATAGTACAAAGTTTTCCGTCGTATTAAAATGGCGAACGTTATGTCAATATAAGGTTCTGGGCAGCAATTATAGTAGATTTCATTTCGTTTACCGGGTACGCCTGCAAAGAGAGTGTACGAGAGAATGCGTGCGAGTGTACATGTGTTCGACCATTGCGATTGTGTGAGCGAGAGGGAGAGAGAGAGAGAGGGAAATGATTCATAATGTAATTTTTTATTGAGAGGAGAGAGGCAAAGAAAAAAGAGAAAATTGTTTATTAGAAAAAATTAATAAATATATGATATTTTGAAAATTGTCATAAGTAAATTTAATTACTATAAAATATGTAAATGTTGGTTAGAGAGAGATGTTTAGTGATTACTTTTTGATTTGTTTTGTGATGATTTTTTTTTGTTTGTAATTTAGTCTTTATTATGAGCGTTGGCACATATTTTACATTAAAAGAAGAAATTAAGAAATTTGAAATTTTTAAAAGTTTGTGAGTTAGTTAAATTAACATTTGTTTATTTATTAAATTATTGCGAGTTTTTTTATTAGAATTTTTCTTTAAAAATTTTAAATTTTCAACATGCAAAGCTGCTCCTTACCTAGCAAATCCCATTCGCCGTTCGTTATGAAACTCGAAATATCGCCGCCGGCTTCGTCCTGCAGTTGTAAGTCCAGCTGAAAAGAAATGAGTTGCAGCAGTAAGTAAGAAGTAGGCATTTAGCTTATGTAATATTTCGAAAAATTTAAGTAATTTGGCTTAGATTGAATTGCCTATCAATACGTAAGCATTAATACCGTGTAGGCACACTGTGATACCACGGAGTTTACCCTATCTCTGAGCTCCACTTTCATTCCCTTATAAATTTCATTAGATAATTTATCCTGCTGTCTGTTTTGATGATGAAAGCCACTCCTTGTTATTGCAACCTAGTTCTGCGGGGTCCGTAATCATTGTTCTTACAGCACCTAGAGCATTTTCTGAAGAAGACTGTCAGTCTTTCCGAATGTTGTACTACCAAGCAGGACCTCTTAAGACTCTTACAACCTTACACATTGAGAGAACATAGCAGCATTGTGGTTCAGCCGTCTTATAAGTATAGTCTTTGAGTAGCAGATTGTATGTAGCAAAGGCACAAAAATACATTATTTGAAGGGCCGTACCTAGCCTGGCAAGTTTGTTTGCCGTAAAATTTCCTTGTATGTCCCTGTGATTAGGAACCCAAATGAGATATAATACGATCTGTTTGGACATATCCTGTGGAGATAGGCGACTGTCCAGCACAATTTTTGAAATCGCTGCAAGCGATATAGTCTGCTGTGGAGTGTTTACCCCTAGACTTTCTAGGGCAGATTTTACAGCTTCCGCTAAGAAGTTGTTGAAAGTTTCCTCTTTGCTTAGTAAGGCAACAAGGCCAACTTCTTTTCATGATGAGATTTTTCAATGTACGAAATTGGTTTTTCAATGCGATTTATGTTGATATTCCTTTCTGATTGCTCAAAACCAGCCTCTTTTTATAGTTTAAAAGAGGAAATTTGTTATGATCCTCTCGAATATTTTTTGAACGAAGGAATGTGTGTGGAATACCAGCTTTGACAATGAATACTACTGATATCTTTCTCCGTGCCGTTGTAATGTAGTTATATTTAAGACTGCGAGGGGATTACCGAAAGTTCGGTCAGTTGGTGACTTGCTATTTATTTGTTGAGAAAACGCAAGACAGCTGAGAATAGGTCAGACGAAATTTCACCACCAACGCAAACAAGAATTCGCCATGTGATTCTCTTCAGGTTTCGGCGTAATTTAGAGTCAATACAAATATTCAGTGAGTGTTAAATTGCATGCTAAGTGGTTCTGAGGATTTCAGACCGCTCAGTTTCTATAGAAGGTTGACCAAAATCTTCGACTGATGACGTCACTTTAGCTCTGTTAAAGTTTGAAGAAATGATTGCTAATGAGCCATGGCTGTATAAGGTATATTTAGTAATCATTTGGGATACACGAAGAAATCTTCTCGATGGGTACCATGAATTTTCAATAAGGTCCAAAAAGAGGGTAGAATTTATTTCGCTCAATTATTCCTTACCAAATTCAAAAATAGTCAGTCTAGCAACTTCAATAAAGTCGTTACTGGTTGGGAATCCAGAAGCCAAACAGCAGTCCATGATATGGAGCCCATGTAAGCAACTGAAATCAGCAGCAAAAGTAATGATATCAGTTTACTTCACCCGATCTAAAATCGTAGCGGAATAGCAGCCACTGGAAAAGGGTAAGACTGCAACTGCAAAATGGTACCCCGAAGAGTGCTTAGCAAGAGTTTTCAAATATTTGTCTTTACATCATGATACACTCCCGAAATAACGAACAATTTTATTGCGGAGTTAATTAATGCGGTTGATGCTCAAGTTCAGCAGTTTAATCTTAAAAGAAAAGATTTTGAAGCTTTTCGGATCAACTTACCGACCTTTTGTTAGCCACCTGTATTTGAACGCTCTACGAGTTTTCTAGGTCTCAATCTATACAGAAGTCATTTAGAAGTTCACATAAGGTCATAAGGTCAAGTTCATAAGTATTTAGATAAGAGGAAATATATTTCACGTTCATAGAGTTTATCCTTTTTTCTTCTTCTTCTTTACTGGCATCCACAATCCTTACACGACTTTAGCCGGGTTAACAACAGGGCGCCATTATTTGTTCTTTTTTGCCAATCGGAAATACCAATTACACCTAGATTTTTCTCCACCTGTCATTTCCAAGGTAGGGGGGTGTTCCTCTTCCTCTGCTCCACTGGCGGGCTCCACACCGAAAACTTTCAAAGCTGGAGTATTCTCATCCATCCGAACTCTGTTGAATCTTGGTGTTAATATTGGTTCCAGAAAAGGCATCGATAACTACGACTTCAAAGTTAAGGCGATTAATGCGATGACATTTTGTTTGATGATAGGAGATATTTCGTCTTTATCCAGTCTGGACAAAGCAGAGCTCACAGCACGGTTATTGAGCCCAATGATTGAAAATTGTATTTTCTCTGTTCGGCTCTGCAGTCACACGAAAAGGATTTTAAGGTCTGACACCTCGTTACATTTCGAATGGCTCAGGGAGGTCCTTTCCGATCCTGAAGGAGCTTTTGATGTTGCTTAACGATAGCTTGGATCTCTATGGGGATACTAAAATTGACATAGCAGCGTAGAAACAGTTTCTTCCCGTACAGAGTTTAATATCACTGTACGAGTAATTAGATAATAAATGTTGGTAAGACTCACATACAACAAATCGTACTCACGTTTTTAATTTAAATTGGCAAAAGCCAATGTAATTCTTCCGCAAAACTTACAAGTTTTCAACTCAATCGCAATACAAAGTGTAGCCCAGAATTCGATTTAAAAACTTCTCGGACAAGTGAACTTTGAATGGCTTGAGAGAGAAACTAGCAGACTACCACTAGCTCAGCGCTTTAACGGAAACTTCATGATGCAATCAGGCGTTATCAGTTGAAAGAAAGGCATTAAGTTTAGGGAGAAAAGTGCACAAGAATCTTGCCCAAGCACAAATGCACACACAAACTTATTGCATACGCCCTAAATGAGCTAGTGATTGCAATCGAAGCCAATTTCTTTTCGCCGCGTCAGCCGATAGCAGACTCTGAAATTTATTTGAAATGAGAAATTGCACAGCGACCATTGGCAATTTAAGAGAAGAGCTGGTGTTGTTGTTCTTCCAAAGAAAAAATTGATACTTAAAGCGCAGCACTAAGGCATGAGCTTAGCAGGCAAGTATTTGTTTCTTGTTGTTTGGGGACTATAGAAGGCACCTTAACATATATAATGTGCTTAAATTGCAAACTTGAATTTTATTATGAAGCAGCCGACCACGCACACGTTGCTGTGTTTAAACAAACCTCTTTCATTTACAGTTTAACCATCCTTTCAAATTCATTCCGAAGTGGAATGGATTAAACAAAAGATTTTTTCCTTTACTCATTTTGAGAAGAGATGCCGAAAATGAGAGCGAGGATGAAATGTAGGAGTATTTACAGCTTGGTAACTAACTGACAGAGATTTCAGAATCGGATCATACTGATTCAGAACCCAAAGAGGTTATCTGGTGGCCGATTCCCAGAGTGTACCGAATATATGCACGGCGGGTACACTTCTTTAGGTACTGCTTTGCATGGGAAAGGAAACAGCCGAAGAAGTGATTCAAACGATGACGATGTTAAGTACATTCAACTACCTTGAAGTGCGAATAGCAATCGCCCTCCGAGGGCCAATTTTTGCAGTGAGTTTGCCAAACTGGTTTGTTATCGGAAAAAATCTCGCGTGCCTGCTAGTTCAGAAGAAAAAAATGCTGCTGTAGCGCAAAGTCTGCTGAAGCATCCACCAATATCAACTCGAGCCTGAACTGAATTTGCGCAGGACTTTGCATAAAGACTAAGAAGTCTCAATGAAGCCTCATGATCATCTTATGAGATTTTAATTTGCTCAAATCGCTCAAGGTCGCTTGACAGAAGAAAAGATTTTCTTACGAAATCCTTAATAAGTAGTGTAGGCGTTCCGCTGTGCAAGTGAAGCTTTAGCGACATCAGGTGATTTCCTGCCACTTCCCTAAGGGTGATGTTCTAACATGCTTGTAGCTTATTCATCCGCCTCTCACTATTGTAGTTCCCAGCATCTAAATCGAAAGTGCTAGCCAATTGCCTTGTTTCTTTGTCTCTTTCCCAAGTGCTGCCGCTTTATGATTTTAATATTTTGTTGCGACTCTTTATAGAGCAGGATGTAACTGCAGGTGTCGCGCAGTGACGAAGTCGAAACGCCTTCTGGTGGAGGATGGAGCTTCGGTAAGCCAAAACTAAGCAAAAGCGGGGAGAGAACACCACTTAGCGGAACGACTTCGAAGCTCTAGTGATGTCGTCCCCTGAGGTAGCCCATATTTCACCTCTTCCACCCTGGCGGTAAGGGGTAGGGCTCAATCTGTGTTAATAGCGCTGAATGATTGACGGTGCCCGATGTTCTTGCTGCCTCCGGTGCTACCATTAAGGTTTGCGCACAGGGCTGGTTTTGGTTAAGGTCATGCACTCCCTGGGTGTTTATGGTGTTAATTGCGGTTGTAGTGCTGGACGTTTCTCAGAACCAATGCTGATGTGCGGCTGCACGCTCAGGTGGTGTGGATAAGGGTATGCACCGGAAAGTTTTGAATTTCCCTTTAAGTATTTATTTAACAGCAGCACTTTTATTTGCATTTCATTACGGAAAACATATAAAAATTTGTTTTTATTAACAATTCAAAATGAGAAGCAGAGCCAACCAGGCGCATTTCAATGTCAAACCATAGTTTATGCCAAGCAAATAGCCTTGCAAAGTTTAAACAGCAAAGCAACGTACAGGCGCTGCGATGAAACAACGGTAGAGGCAGAAAGAGAGAAACAATATGAATAATATGTGTGTTGTAAAATAAATAAAAGTAAAAATTACAAACTAAATCTCAGTGAATTTTTGAAAGATCGCTTATGAGAGCTTAGTTGTTGTGTAGATTTGCAATTTATGTGCTTTTACTTTCATCTACCTCTCTGCCCGCTGACGTTCTATTAGTGCGCCATTGTCCATTTGTCCTGAGGCCGACACAGCAGCGGCCTTGCGAGCAAACTAACTCTCAGCTACTCACAAAGCAAACGAACAAA